ACAACGGTTGAATGGCGTCAGAAGATAATGATTTTTCAATCCATTTACACCATTCAACTAAGACGAGTTTATTCCTATTCATCTTCTTTTGATAATTGTTAAGACAGGTGCTAGGCGATAACACAGGAACAAAGTTAGCAACATACACCCCTTTGTTACATAACATGCGCTTTGAACTAACAGTTGCTTCAATCCCCAGTCGTAACAAACTGTTTTCCAGCTACAGATATCAGCCTTGGATGGTCATCTCACCAAAGTGTAAGTACCGTGTAATACGGCTTGCTTATGAAAAAGAATCTGTTGTACACAATCTGCTCGCTCTTGGCATAATTTTTATAGTTCAGATTGTAAAAAGTAACGGATCTGGATTTAAAAAATCGACAAATTGATATCAACTGGTTTCTTTTTGGGAACGATTCTTTGAAGTATTTGCCTAGCTTTTTTTAACAGTGACCGACTGCGCTAAGAGACTGTGCCTTGCCATGGAACATTTCCACCATATGAACAATTTGGAGAGATCGGTGTAGTGAACTGCATCCTGCTGGCTAGTTACATGGACGATTTCCCGTATCTCTGAAGCTACCCCTTCTGTGGGCCGTTCAGTGGTGTCTTCGCGACCAGTAACAATGTGGAAAAAAGTGGAAAGACAACCAACACAGGTACAGTAATAAAATCTTTCAGTTTTGTTCCCGTCCCGTGCAATAGTTAGACACTCCGTTTCAGTGTTCCATCTTATATGAGAAAGACATTACTTCTTAACCCTTTACACCCTAACATCAGTATGCATATTCTTCATACTTTTGTCTTGCATTTTCTAGGGTGTTGACATAAAAAATTTGTTTGACAATCAGCCTCTTAAATTGGTGATCGTTTCCTTGATTCTCATGACCTTGACATTAATTCGAGGGTGGCTGTAAGGAGAAATCGGAGGCCAGTCACTCCTAAAAGTTAAATGGTTAAATGTTATTATATTCACTGAATTTGATTTTGCCAATATTCTACCTAGGGAATATAAACCCCTTTTTGATGTTACACGATCCTTCTGATTAGCACCGACACTTAGATGTTATTATTCCGTGTCCTCTTCCGTTCTATTCTTAGCTTCGCGAGCGCAAACCGATCCGATCACGATAAGGGGACAAGTTACACTCTGTTCTGATCACGGCTACAGCACTAATAGAACGAAGTGAACCATGGATGAAGCAGAGTCGTTCTGATCAGCGCAGCGTCATCAATAAAACAGAGCGGAAGGACCCCCATAGTATTACCAGAAAAACAATACAAATTTGCCTGCACAGGACCCTGCAGACGGCAGACTGAATCTCACAGCACCAGCAGGAAAGCTAAAAAGTTATCTGTATCAGGATCACCAATAGCGTCAGAGGACTAGTTAAATAGACTGGACTCGTCTATGTAATAAGTACCCACAGGAAGACATGGCAGACTGGCAACCACAGCAATACCAGTAAGAAGGGAGAATAGTTCGCCCGGCTGGACACAGCATAAAACATGGCGGACTGGTACCCCTGGCCACCATACGACTTAATTCTGGCTTGCGAGGCCGCGAAATCAGATTGTTCCTCTGGCGGGAATGAAACACAAGAGACAGTTCAGATACAGCTGTGACTAATCAAGTGACAAAAGGGAGCCATTTTACCAAGGTATGGACCTTTTTTCCGTAGTTTATCGCGCTCTTGCTTTCCACCTCCATTAGCACCTCGTGTTTTCACCTCAATATCTCGTGACCTCGACAAGAACCTTAACACGTTGCAAAATTGGAAGTGGCGCCTCTTCGAGTCCTCTTTGATTTGCAGAAAATTAACTTACTTCGATAAACTGATAAGTTTCCCGCAACTTCAGAACTAGGCTCGTCCTTTAGTTCACAATCTAATTTCCTACCTAGATCCTACCGTTTACCCGTAATTGAAATGTATACTTTTACCGCTTGGCCGTGGAAGGTCTGGGTACGAGGCCACCTGTTAAATGAAAAAAATAGTCACAACTTAAAGAATGGTTGTTTTGCTCTTTGGTGCCAAAGTTTTATATTCTCACTTTACATTAGGTTAGTTAATTATGGTGAGCCACCATGAAGCAAGATACTTTAGGTTATTTTCCTTATTTCACCACAGTCATTCTTACTTCGGCAAAGGAAAACAGCCTGCAGTGTAATAAGGTTATTAAACATATGAATTACCCTGAGCAGTCATTCACTAATGGCAGACTCTACAAAACACAGTTAACTATCGTACGATGCAGTTTTTCTTTTTCCTTTTTTTCAATCAGGGAACTCAGACCTGTCAAAGTTCAAGCGTCGGCAAATGAGGAACTGGTCTTCCATTCAACCTCCGTGTGACTGCAAGAAAGTTCAGAAAGAGAAGAGAAAAAACTATCAATTTAAGCACAAAGTACACATCGCAAGTTATGGCATTCTGTTTAACGGTGGCTAAGAGGTAAAGCAATCGAGACAATTTGTCGAAAATTTTTTAGATAGAATGGAACATTGGCGACTTTCAGCAAGCAGTCCTTCAGCAGCGACAGAAATATACTCCAAAGGTCTAAAAAATTAAGGACGGAATGTCAGATTAACGTAGTGCCTCAACTTTTATTCTGAGGAAGGACACTATTTTCTCCTTTGTCTAATTTGAAATAATTTTATCATAAAACCTAACACATACTTCAAATAAATGATTTGTTAAGTTGACCAAGTTGACCAAGCTGCAACAATACGCAAAAACGCTCTACTGTATCTCAAAGTTCAGGCTGATCACAAAGGATTTACTTTTTAAATAACCGAACCTCTGTAAGTGACCGCTCGAGCCTTTTCTGTCCAGTTTTCTAGCATAGTTCGTGGTGAACACGCAGAATGTCGGAGAAACGAAGACTAGGATAGGAGACACATACATGAAGGGATTATCAAAAGTTGCCTGGATCACGACTCTAATTAGGAATTGCACAATTTTTTTATTGAAAATGAGAGTTCACAATTTGCCGCATCACTTTGTCTATTTTAATCGGAATCTGGATTGGTTCATGCTTTCAAAACTTTTTCTCTATGAGGTCATGACATCATGTTTAGTGGAGGAAAATGGAGGACGCAACCTGTAAGAGAATTACAAAAATTATTAGAGGTTATGGAAATAAGTATCATGTTTTGGCTTTCTGAATTGGGCGGTAAGGAATTGGGAATAAATTTTCTTCAAAATTGTGTGTTATTTTGCAAAATTTAGCATCGTCCATTTTACCTGTTGTACTGAGAACATGAATCAAGAGAAGTACAGGTCATGAGATCATTGTGGAGTACAGGATTTTTCCAAAAAAATATTGTTTTCCTATTTCCTCTTGAATAATGAAAAGCTCTTTGGGTGTGTGCGTGCGTGTAGCGGGGGGGGGGGAAGAGGAAGGGAGGGAGGGAGGGAGAGGGGTGCAGGAAATTTCAGCTTCTATATAAATTGTCATTCTTGGACATGGATCATATAGATTATTTAACCGATCCGGCAAACTGCGAGCTCTTGTTTTCAAATGGCACCCTTAAGTCGGTTATGGTCCTAAATTACACGTGCAGGCAACTTTTGATATTTTATGATTCCTTCAATCATTTTGTTTGCAAAGACTTGCGTAGTTTTCATCAGTTTCATTTAGGCTCGTTTAACTGTGGTCGCTCACAGATTTTAAACTCTTTGCTGTTTTCCAGCTCTTTAGTTTTATTATATAACACTATTATTAGATGCTCCATCCTCTGTATCCAATTACTATTTACGTTTCCTGTTACTGAAGTCATTAAGTAAGTAGTTAAGTGATGCACAGGTTTTCACATAGTTCGGTGGATAGCACAACAACGATCTTCCAATTACCTATGAATGCGACCAAGACAAATTAATACATAGATCAGCGGAAAACAGTGAATTCTTCTTGGCCTACTGTAACAGCGGAGCTTAATCTAATTACTAATATCAACTGCAAAGTGACACTGAAAAACTGCACGAAGAATTCTTTTTTTTTCCGGTTTTCTAGTTAAAAAGCTAAATTTTAATTAAGTTAATTGTAAGTTTTATTAGGATGGAAATAAATTTCATACGTTTACACCATTGCTGGCTAAGCGTTTCCTAAAGGGAGACACAACCGTTCTCGGGAATAACATTTTAATAAAGATTTTGTTTTGTTGTTGTTGTTGTTTGCTAACAGATCTTACTGAATATTGATTTTCTGAATGAAAAGGGGTAAATTTATTTTCAATTAAAAAATTCACCCACAATCTTAGTGTCTGCTACCATTCTGACAAGGTGACCTTAGTTTGGGGAACACATTCGAGAATAACTTGTGTGATGTGGTTTATTTCAAATTCTCTACTTAAAATAAATATTACTGTGGCAACTAGTTTTTTTTTCTATTATTTGCGAAATTCCGTTCTTATAAAGATACTCAGGACTTGAGGACTAAGGAGCCTTGGAAAAATTTCGAGATTACATTTCTGGATGTATGGAACCGACTGGTTCTTTCAAATGAAGCTTTTCGAATACGCCCCCGTGAACAAAGGTCACCCTGTCGCGAAGGTAACAGACACGAAGGTTCTAGAAACATTTTTGAGTCAGGAATAAAAATTATTCATTAAATCATTCATTAAATCAATATTCAGTTTAAATATTTATTCTACTTTTCCCACTACAAATAGCTGTCTTAGTGTATGCAAACGTCAAATTCTAAAATTTTATTTAGCTTTTTTCTCTCTTTATTAACCCGTTAACCCCGAAGAGTGACCAAAATGTTATTTCTCATTACAATATCACCCTTGAATCAAACACTAAGGTCACAATATGTGTTGCTTCATTTAATTAATTTCTTAATACTGCAATGGCCACGTAACTTTTACACTCGTCATCCTAAAATGTAGCTGCGTAAGCCCGGGCTGAATTCTGGGCCTGTCCTCAAGAGAGACTGACACTGTAGACAACAGAGGGACAGCTTATCCCGGGCGGTGTGCTACAGCGAGCGTAGTATGTGTTTTTCGCAAACTTTACGCCGAGTTTGGCTGCGATTTTAGCAAACCAGGCGAAGGGAACAGCTCCAGCATCATCAGGTACTGAGCCAGAACGAAAAAAGGAACATTTGAAAGGAGTTTCATGGCTTCTCTGTAACCCTTCTGGGGTTGAAAACATGAATATAACTTTGAAAGACGAACTAACCAAGATTTTTAAAAGTTTTATTCCTTATCCCTTATCAGTGGTAAATAATACGATAGTAGGTTTCTCTGGTTCAATGGCATTTTTTTCATTCTAAGTAAGAACCAGTTTACATCTGAATACGCGACGTGCACGAATGTTTTGGTAAGTGTGAAAGTGTCATCTTTAAATATCAAGAGACCATTTCTCGTCCTTACAAAAAAATGAGGGAGAGATGATAAACACTGACGAAAAATTCTGAATTGGTCAAGCAGAGATCAGACTGTCAGAACAAACTATCCTCCTTCCATTATGATATTTAGAAAATAAAAGAATTAAGACCTAAATATTTGATTAAGGAAGATCGTTACATTGTCAATTGGACCATATTTATTTTGAAAGATCGTATTGAAAACTTATTGCCGGAGTTTGTTTCGAGACGAAAAAAGATTCCCCAAGCAGAGAACCAGACTTTTTGCTCCGAATGCCTTTTAGAACGAAGTGTTATAACGCCCTACCAAACAAACAGGCTTTTTTAATCTCATTCTAATAATACGATATTAGATATCTCTTATCCGAAGGTAATTTGTATTACTTCAAGTAAATAGCAAGTTTTCCATCTGAATACGTGGCGTGCACGGATGATTTTGGTATGGGTGAAAGTGTCATCTTTATAAATATCAAAAGAGACCATTATTTTACTTGTCCTTAGAGAGAAAGGAAAATTCGAAAAGAGGAGGAAACCTACAGAAAAAATTATTGGCTTCTTTAGGGTGGGTAAACGATCTCCACTCTGAACTCTACTTCCGTCTTCTTTCTTGGCGATAACAATCGGGAACACATTCGAGAATACCTTGTGTGATGTGGTTTATTTAACATTCTCTACTTAAAATAAATATTACTGTAGCAACTAGTTCTTTGTTTGTATTCTTTGCGTAATTCTGCTCTTACAAAGATACTCGGGACTCAAGGACTGAGGAACCTTTGGAAAATTTCAAGATTGCATTTCTGGATGTATTAAACCTGTGTGGAGATAGAAACTTCTGGAACCGACTGGTTCTTTCAAATAAGTTATTTTCGAATACGTCCCCCCTTAAGAGGTCACCCTGTCACGAAGGTAGCAGACACAAAGGTTATAGCAAAATTTTTGAGTCAGGAATAAAGTTTTTGTACCTTTATTCAGAAAAATCAATCAAATCAAATCTTACTTGTCCTTACAGAAAAAAGAAAGTTAGAAAAGCGGTGAGAGGGGGGGGGGAACCTAGAGACAAAATTATTGGCTCCTTTAGGGTGGGTAAATGATCTCCATTCTGAACTCTCCTCCTGTCTTCTTTCTTGGCGCATTTAAACCTTTTTCGTTGAGCCTATTTACCATAACGAAACATTGAGGAAAATCTATTGGATGTTTTGAAGATCTTTAAAAGGCACCCACCTTGAAAGTAGAATATACTCTCAATCCTTTGATGACTCTTTAGATGCGCTGGTGGCGTGATTTGCTTGAGGCTACGCAGGTGTTGTCTCCCATTTAAACTATCCCCTTTTGCAAGTCGAAGGTAAATGATCCAGTCGCTAACATTGAGGAACTTTTTTTGTGGCTAAATGCCCGTACATTGGACATTAGACATGTCAAGCAATTCAAAAAATTAACTTTTTGTTTCAGTGGACGAATTTTCCGTGCTTGCACATCCTAGAATATCACTCGATTGGCGACACTTAGAAATTCGACGCTTCTGGTCAAGTACGCGGCAGTTAGAAATATTCACCAAAATTCCATTGAAAGGTTACGAAGCGTTATACCTGGTATATGGCACTTCTACCGGTTGTTTCTTTTCAAAAAGGTCTTTCTGTAAGCCAACGAATCAATATGGAAATAAGTCAACACGTTCCCTCATGCTTTAGTTCTAATTGGTTTATTTTATGTCAGATCTCCTACAGTAGTGGTGCATCCTTTACTAAAATACCCCAAGATTCTGTTACACTGAAGAAAAATACAGCTTGACTAAGGTAAAACGGGACAAGATTTTTAAATTAATGCTCCTTGAAAAGGCTTTTCTCTGAATTCGGTGGACATTTCCGACTTCCGGGTATTTAGTATATCTGAGAGCGTGCCCAGCAGTCTGTTCAAGCGTCGACGACCAAACGATTTTGTGGTTCGATAAGCTCGGAATATTTATTCACTGACAAAAAAAGGCATTTAGAATCTCTTGCGATATCTAAACGAACATGGAATTTTCTTAATAGGTTTATATACGTTTTTCTTGTTTCCCTCAATGTTAACTGAAACTGAAGCCTTTCTGAAGTAAGTGACCTTGAAGACCACTTGCTACGAAACCAATGGATATGGGTAGTCTAGGTTGACCACTGAAAAACCAACTTAACTCTTAGAATCGCTTGGAATTTCAATAAAAAATCATATATACTCAATAGGTTTCTATGAAGTTTTTTTGTTGCTTGCCCTGCCGGCTTTTCTTTCTTCTGCGCTTCTTTTTTTTTTTTTTTCTTACTCAAAATAATGGGGGGGAAGGGGGTGCCGGGTACCCCGGGCCCCTCCCTTAGATCCACCTCTGTATTAAATCCGTAGAAAACATAAGCACAGTTTATTACATGACCAATGAAACAGTTCTAAAAACAACACAAGCAAAAACATATGAACTAAAGCGGCCTCTTACAAAGCATCTGGCTAGTCTAGCCCCCTGTCCCCCTCCACTAGTCTGAGCCGCAGCTTGTTTTAACTTAACTTCCCCTCTTTTTTCCCTTCGTTTTTTTAGCAGCTGTTGGTAGTTTTGTTCCGAAGAGTGAACCAAGCAGAGGTATCCATAGTTATTGTTCGTAGCGGTCATATCAATCAATTAATCAAGCAATCAATTTTCTGAGATTTACGAAGAATTCGTAATGGTTATAAGGCTCGTTTGATTTTCCAGTAGGCCTTAGAATGCGATGAATTATCTTACTGCATCTCCGGCTCCAACATCAAGGTTACTAACCTTTCCTGTACCTTATAAACGTCAGTAGATGGACGAATTTTTACGTTTTGACACTATATTCTGCAAGCATGTCAAAGTATCTTAACGATCGGATGAGATTGAGAAAGACTCGGTCGAGCGTCCGGCGGGCCGACTGAGCATAACTGAGCATAACTGAGCATGCGTTATTTGACACGCGAGGTTGATTCGCATAGTGTGAAGTCTTGATCTCTATGAGAAAGATCAATGATTTTCGGAACTAAGATGCGGTAAGATTTGCCATTTCAGACTTTTCTGATTGGTTATTTAGACGTGGCATTGACTGATAAATTTATTTAAGATGTAAAGCAAGATAAACAACAATAACTTCCAGACATTAGAGCGACGTGTGTTCAAGTAACCTAGGGTCGTGAAGTTGTTAGTTAACTTTTAATCAATTTATCAGGATGCTTTGAGATCTTTGGTAGTTCTGAAAGCTCTCTGTTTATGATAGACTGTAAGCAATTATTTATATATTAGAAATAACTCGGAAGAAAAACGCTTGTTTAATTTGGAGGAGCGATGACTGTTCTTTTTACGATGCCTTGACGAACCTACTGGCGTCAACTTTTCTGACACATGCACACATAGTCGACACATTAGCTTATTTTGGAAATAGTTTAAAACCCGTCTCTTATTAGAACCGAATACGAAGTAGAATGCTACGGCTTGTCAATCTTCACGAGATTAGCACAGTTAATTTTTTTGGAATCCCTAAATTTCTGGTGTCGAGTCAGGACCTGTTGTGGTTTAACATTCTCAATTTTTTTCAGGCTTTCAATAGTTTGATGTAGGTTACGTGGAGCCAAAGAGAGGAAAATGGATAATGATCTACTTTGCAACTTTAGAAAGTGCAGAAAAAGACTGAATACACATGCTTGGGTAAACAATTTTTTCAAGTTTATGGCACATTTTTTAATCCAATTTCATTTTGAAATATTTTAATGTAAATATACTTTTTTTGATCCACAAAATCTCCAGGTTACCTCATGCTCTCGTATCCTTTTGCTCCATGAGCTTTCAGTAAAAATACATTTCTTATTTCTTGTTGAAATATCTGATGTCTTAAGTATTGAACATTAACTGAATACAAGTGATCAATGGAAGCATTTTTGTTTTTCTTTGAAAAATACCAGACTTTTTAAACAAAATCATTGATAAAGACATAAGTCCAAAATCATATCTTTTTTAAGAGAATCTTTACATGAGCATGCAATTGTGTGGATTTATATAAATTTTGTATGATTGTTCAGTTTTAATCGTCAGTGTGATCCTGCACCAAAGCACACTGACAGAAGCACTGCTGTCAAAGTTCTATGTTCATCTTTTCTGACTGAAATAGGTTTTAAGATGAGTACATTTCTATCCAAAATTTATGGCTAAATTATGTACAACCATGAGCTTGTGTCAGTTTGACTGACTGATTCCTTTAATCACTTCCTGATTGATTGACTTTGTCATTGATTGAGTGGTTGACTGTCTCACTGAGTGGGTGACTAACTGATAGACAGACTGACCCACAGACTAATAAACCAACAGACTAACTGACTCACTGACTGACTTATGAACAGACAGACTATGGACGGATGGATAGAAGCAGAAAAGCAGATTGACTGATTGACAGATAATATCCATCAACTAGAATTTTCATGGACACATGCAGGTGGGGGCTGTTTTAGCCTCTGTTCCAGTTCCCCTGTTGTATATTTACAGGAAGATTGTTATTAACTTATCAATAATTTTTTCACTTATGTAACTTACACTTGCCAATGAAAGTTAATGAAAATTGCTGCGGTGGTAGGAACACAACAGGTATTGCAAATTTCAACGTATTCTCTGAGTATAAATTTTTTGCATTTGAGTAGAATTAGTGGTTTTAAGTAATGAATAGTACCTGTCTTGATACCTACATCCTTGACTTTTAGTAAAGATATATTTTGTGATGAGGACGGAACCAGAGAATTCAACAAGAGCCTTATCTGCCCAGCTTGTAAATATATGGTTCTTTGAGTTAAATGCCCCTTGTACATATAAAAACTGTTGAAACTAATTGATGGATTTCTAATAATATGTTATGCTTCATTGCCAGGTGAAACTAATCTGTCTGCAAAATTTGACGTCATTCGTGTTGATCTACAGGCTTCTGAACAATTCAAATCAGTAAGTGTTTATTAGGAATCGTTTTAATCAGTTCACATAACTCATAAATCAGATATATTCTGCTAGTGCATATATACTTATATTTTGAGTGGGTCTTCTAGTGGTTGTACTTTTTCAACCATGCATTGTTACCATGACAACAGCATAAAGCTCAGCCAAAAATGTGTGGTGGTACCTATTCCTCACCAGTTTGGGCCCTAAGGAATCAAATGCCTAGAAAGGAGCCAACAAAAAGTGAATGTCTGTAGATAGTTGAAAACAGGGTATTGCAATTCTTAAATAAAACACCTTTACATTTATTCAGAAAGTGAGCACTCACTTAAACTGCTGGTTGTGCCTGAAATGGGGAGTTGATCTGTACTAGAGTTGGTGTCAATGATATTTTCCCTAAATGTTTGTTTGTTTCCATTTCACAGATGGTGTTGGCTGGTCAAAAACCTGAGGTTATTATGGAAATTTGTTCAAGAGCATTGGCGTTCTGGACATACCAAGTAATATATCCTCACTTATAAGCAAGTAGTATACCCTTCACTTTCTTACCTGTGAGCTGCTTTAGAAAGAAGTTGTAGTTCCTGTGGGAATGGGGTTTATCATTACACTTTTAGAGCAAGAAGTGAGTCTGTGAGGTATTTTCTAAAACATGAAAAAATTGTATCTGAATTAATGTCAAACAATTCACTGACTGTATACTTGGAAAGAGTCCTACTCAAAATTTGGGCAACAAATAGCCACCAAAAGCTGTATAAGCCTAAGCATTAAAGTGAGTTCTTATTTTTCTCTAAGCTTCCTAATTTGCCATTTTTGATATATCAAAATTCAAACTTGGCTCCGAGGCTTGGGGAAAAAACAGAAGAAATCACATTGAGGTTGAGGGATAAATAATTAATTTATTTTGTCTTATTCCCCCCCTAGCACTGGTTGTTGTTACATGTTAGATCTTTTAAATATCGAAAATGGCAAATTAATTTGTCTTAAAAGAGTTAAATGTTTTCTCAATTTTCCTCAAGGGAAGTATATTTCTTGCCTTTCAAACTCCTGTTCAAAATGGGTGGAGTGCCTCTTTACGTTTTTATGTGCATATAAGAAATCTTTAACAAGACTCAGAGAGAATTAAACCTTTTTTATAGGCTTACATAAAACTGGTACCAGTGTTAGCTTTAAAGAATGGGGTCTAAGCTTCTGAGGATAAAACTTCTGTTAGAGTAGAGTCTTAAACTTGTACTATTGTCATATGAGTTTTTTTACAAACAGAACTGATGCCAATTAGTCAAAACTATGACAGAATAACCTCTGATTGGCTAAATGCCTTAGTTTTTAATTAAAGCATAGTGATACACCAGAAAATAATGAACAAATGAAAAGTTTTTTTCAAATTATATAAACATGAAGTGCAAACTGTCCTTTTACATTGTCCACTTCCACAACTGCTATTGTGCTCAGTGCTCTTTCACGTATGAAATACAGGAAGCCACTGATCCAGTCATTAAGTGTCATTTTTTAAATTTTTTTTTTAGGTTTTTGGATAATGCAGTCTGAGCTAATGTTTTTGTGAACCTTTGTAGAGATATGAGAATACTTGTTTCACAGATACCATGCTTCAGTTGTTTCCTGTTTTGCATAGACCCACCAGGAAAAAATGTATCAGGATTATGTTGCCAACAAAGCAAAGGAGAAGACAAATCAGTTGGAGCAGTACTACAGTCAAGTTCTTTCCAAAGTGCAAGCAGAACTAAGCTGTATCCTATTGTCTGTGTTTTTCTTTGTAGACTTCATCTTGCAAACGAAGATTTGTAGGATAAATGTGCATATAACAAATTGTAAACACTGTGAGAGCTTTAATGGGTCCTATTGGATTGTGGGGATACAATAAACTTCGAACCTTCCATGACTGGATCAAGGATACATACCTTAAAACGAATAACCATGAACATTTCTTACAATTTATGAGACTTTGGAGTAATCCTCCACAAATTTCCTTGACTGCAGTTCGATTTATAAACAGCCTTAAGAACCCAAACTTCAAGTAAGTGTTTTGAAACTAATCATAAATTACTCTGACGCTCGGTTAAAGGGAGATTATTTTGATGAGGAAAACATACATTATGAAATATGTTACTTCATGATAGTAATGTTAGGAAAGATTCTTGATATTTTGCAAAAAAGCTGTTTTGCTCATTGCAGATGACAAGAAGGAGCTGGAGGACATCAAGAAGCGTAATAGTGAACTGTCTGAGAAAATGATGGAAAAGAATAGACAGTATCTTAAGCTCCAGGTGAATACCTTGTACGTTACTCACCCATTTAGAGCTGCTGCATGGTTATATAAGAAACGATCTCTATCGGATTGATGGATTTTATGTCACAGTGTGAGGCTATTCGACGATAGGAAGGAAGAGCATATGCTGGTTTTACGTAAATGGCTCCTTTTTCCCTCTCGTTTTTTGTCTATTTAATCACACCCGCACGTAGTTCTGCTTTCTCTTTCTTTTGGTTTTTAATGAGTCACTGCTACTGACCCCTGATTTCCGGTCAAACATCAAGGAGGATTTTACTAAAAAATCTGTTTTAGGAAAGTAAATCTGTGTTTGTGTTCAGTGAATGGCCGTCAGAGTAAATGATGCATGCACAACCTACTGTAAGATATCCTTTCTATTAAGTCACGAACGTACAGCACTTTGCTATCGTGCAATGTTGATGTTGTCTCACAAAAGTACTGTTTTACGTCAACAGGGAATGTATGACTCACTGAGAAGGTAAGAACAGAAATGTGTTTTTAGAAGAATTGTGCAACTTCTTTATTGTCAATGACCCCTTGAACGTTTTCACTGTAGTTTGTTATGGCCTACAGCTACTAATTAAGACTGAAGGAAAATGGAATGAGGAGTTCAGTTACAAAAGTACACCGTGTTGTAGTTTTTGGCAAACTGATATATTCATGACGTAGATAATTCAACATGGGCAGTTTTTGTCTCTAAACAGAAAATTTAATTACTGAAGCTCGCCTCGCCATTTTTTTAACGCAGACATTACTACGCGCTGCAAAAGATTGGCTTGTCGCACATGATTACCTTTAATCATTGTAAGATATATGCTCGTTTTTCATCTGCAGAAAAACGATAACGCCATCCGTTCTAGAAGGACGTGAAGAAAGGATTCTGGAATCTCGCGGTTTGGGAGGAGAAGTGAGTCGCGTATTTGAGATTCCACTCGGGACAGGCGGAGGTAAAATTAATCTAGCAAAAAACTGTTTTATGCACTACTTCTCAAGAAATTGAGAGCAAGGAAATTTTTTCTTTCTCGATTGGGTTGTAACCGATAGCCAGAGGTGCTATTGACAGCCGTTGTTTTGAGCAAACTGACCCAAGGGTGACAGGCTTTTACGAATATTTTGACGTTATAATGTTTATTTACACAATAGAAAACTGGCCTAATGTAATTTGGATGGATTCACAGACAGATGAAAGTGCTGTCTTTCAAGATAAGGCCTCTTTAATTTGGTGTCTTCTTGTGTAAACAAAGACTTTGGATTAGTCAGTGCAAGGTCCTATATCATTTTTAAAACCGTTCACGTGCATGACAATACCTATAACCACACGATAGTTTGATAAAACGTAGAAAAGGGATAATTTTAATACCTGGCTGATAGGTGTAACTTTGTTTCAAATTTTCATAGAGTTGCTGAGACGAACAGCCAGTTCTGCTGATGTGAGATATCCTGCAGAGAGTAAGTAAACTCTAGCAGTGACGCTAAGTAATAAAACAATCTCAGTCTGTAAAATTTTATTTTGGTCATCGATTTTCTGAATCGACTTAAAAGTCCCCTGCATGACCGCCCCAACCACTCTCCTCAGAACAATGTTGAACTCCAGGCAAGAGGTTGAACAGGAATAGGCCATCATGTATATATAGAGGGTGGTGAACACGTCTGAAAACTGTTGCCACTGATTGCTAACCTTATACATCTACTTCAGTAGGTGACATTTATCTTTGGTCTGAATTACAAGCTTTTTTCTACGTCAGAGGTGAAATTGTATGCCGTTGTACAAAAAAAAAAAAAAAGCAAAAACAACAACTTGTGAATGAACATGATGATTTTATTGTTATGTTATAAGTCATGGTATTCACGGTTATAAATACACTATTGTAATTATTCTTCATTTGCACGATAGGAGAATTTCATGTCTTTGATCCACCAGTTCCGGTGTCGGCTCGTGTGTCAACTCCAAGCCATGGGCCGCTGAATGATGCCGATTCAGCTTCTCGCAAATTCACCCTTGATTTTACAGGAACCCCTGGAATCAGCAAACGACTGGGACAGAAAGGAGCACATAAGGAATAGCTGGATTTTTACGTGACATTTTTGATACCCGATTATTGGTGTTGGAGCTAAGAGTGATATTTTACATTTATGTGGCTAATATTTTCTCGTGCCTGTCGTAACGTAGAAGAAAAATACCCAGACTTTTTGTAAGCAAGTCTCTCTTTTTACGGTCATGGTAAGCAGGCAAATAAAAATGTTTCTTGGTTAATCGTGGGAAATTCTTGTTTGCTGCAAAGGACCAAACTTTCGTAAAATTTCGATCTTTGCCAAAGAAAAAGGGTCCTTAAAAATGTGCGAAAACCGATAAACAGCAATAGTTTGTGTTCGGCGTCATTTTGTAACAACGACGCATTTTGTGATAAAGGTTGCGCATTTTGTAATAGGTACACATTTTGAAATAATATCTGCAGTATTCTGTATCAATCGTCGGTTGAAGTAATTTATAACAACATCTTGATGCAATGCAAATTCTAATAATCTTAACTTTGCTACAAAGCACTTAGGAAAAGTAAAGTTAAAGGTTACCGTCAAATATCGCACTTTGTTCATGCGTGATATCGCCGATATATCGGCGATATCTCGGAACAGCCGTTGAAGTGTTTTCTGGGACTAATCACCGACATGTAGGTTTCATTGGAGGACATTTGAAACTTTTGGTCAAAGGTAAGGCGACCCTTGCAAAATCTACGTTTTCCAGACGTCACTCAAACACCTTCACTCCGATTTTCCTGTTAGTTAGACCGGCAGAGTCTTGTTTGCTGCGTTCTTATATACTTTAGCTTTCTGCGAGAGGTGTCTAGTGATCAGCTCTACAAAAAGTACAAAAGGTAAGACATTTTATTGTTGTTTTGTGTAACTTTGCAACAAGGTTATGAGGTGTGCGGGTGAAATTTAGCCGGGGTGGATGGATGTAGGAAAACTGTTTTTGATATTTTTTTCCTAATTTGATCCATCAAAATAACGATTGAGGTTGCAAGCTTTTTCAAAAAGTAATTTCATGAGCACGCCGGTGGCTGAAACACTTTACTTTTGAATTTCTGTACATATAGGATGAGATACTACATTGTGGGATTATGCACAGGCATGCGTTTTTTAGTTGACCTCTTATACTTGCAAGTAGGTCGTCAGTCAGTATACATATCCATCGGCGCTGTAGTTATTTCAAAATCTATTCTCAAGAAAGGCTTTCTTTTCTTAACTGAATTTAGATCTATGGGCAAAGTTTCCTCTACCTACCGACTCTGCTAGGCCAATATTGCGTTATGGCAGACATTCCTAAGATTTCATCCCATTGTAAACACTAGCTGTAACTGTCATGCCCTAAGGAATGTGCCGAGACAAAACTCGGTCGTTTTTATTACTCTAGTGTCTCTATGACCTTGGAATGAACTTACTGCTGACTGAGCCGGCCTTTGGATAGTCCACTAGTAACTTGTTCATTAGCAAATTAGTATAGATTTATTATTTTTTTTATTCATAATAAAATGAATTTTATATGCTATTTACTGTCGCAAATAATGAATTGCAGTACAGTTACGCCCTTTTTTTGGATCTCGAAATTCTCAGAATTCAAGATTTTCTAAGTATTTTTGTTAAATAAACAAAATCTCGTACAGTTTTGTTTTCTTTATTCACCTCTCACTTTAAGTAATTTCTCACTCGAAAAATGAACAATGACAATTGAAACAAGTATGATTTCATTTTTTGTACTTGACCTTCATCAGGAATTTCCAGGTGTCGATATGTCGCAATATAGGTATATCATTGAATTAACCGAACAGTGATAGTTTTCGTGCACTCAAGGACAGGCTAGGTGATTATGTTTCCGATATTAATATTTCCGTTGGATAATCTCTTGCTGCGGATATGTATCACAACAAAATAAACATGCGTCATTGACCGAGCGAAAGGTCAGGATGCTTTGCAGTGAACTACGAATGATTTGTTTTGGCTACTTTGAAGACGTGCGATGCGATCCCATTGTTAAACAAGTAGCAGAAGTTTGGCGAAAGCCATGAACTATTTGCACCGGTTACGACATTTTTGCAAGTTTGTTTGTTTTTTGGATCATCGCGGGTAATCAATGAGGAGCATCTCATTACCTTTCCGAGTTAAAATAAAAGACAGGCTTAAGACTGAGTGTAGGAAACAGACCAGTAGAACAAAAACTTTTTTTTACCGGCTGATGTTGAAACTTACTGATCCCAAACAAAATTCTCACACTGTTGTCTTCCGGTTAGAGTTTGGCGTTCATTGTTCCACTGAGCACCATACCTTGTTTGAAAGCCTTGAAACTGTGTACGGAGAGGAACCTTGTCATTACAATGAAGAAAAGTCGATTTTGTTATGATAGTGCCGTTTTTGCAGTTTTTAAAATGTGAGCAAAGGAATTATTGAAAGAAAAGATGTAACTCTAAAAAAATAAAAAAATATTTTTAATGCAGAAAACATGTACACGCCATTATGGCAATCTTGACATCGCTGATTAGTGATAACACATTATTAAAGTGTGGTCTCGTTTTTTAGGTATTGCAAAATCATCTCCTAAAATTTATCATTCATATATTTTAGAACCAATTAGCTGCGACTTCAGATAGTTGGGCCTGAAGGAATGTATTCTGGCATGATGGCTGAACGAGGTTTACTAACACTCATAATTTTTGCCCTGCTGTCTATCAGTCAAGGTAAGCATGAATAGGGAAGGGGTGGGTGGTGCGCAGTTGCTCAGGTACTGACACTGAAGCTACATATTCTCTGTTGCCTTTTAGAAAGGCTTATTTAAGGTGGCTTACATTAATTCATTTTGAATTTTTCTACACATTAATTCATTATGAATGGTGTCCAAAAATCTACAATCAGGCTTACATACTTGTTTTTTAAAGAAAATCCGTGTCTTTAAATGCCCAATCCTGTGATTACAGATTAGTTGCCCCCTTTCCTAGTACGATTCAGTCAAAATATCCAGTTTTTTTCTCAAAACTATACAAACGAAAATCACATTTGATTTAGCACCGCCTTTATATTCAGTTTGATACTTTGAGATGGCTCATGTGGAGTTTACTTTTATGTAACCTTACAGAAAGAAAAATCTTGATTTCTTGGTTATGATTCAGTCATAAAAGAGTATTCCTGAACTTCCTGTGACTCCTGAGTCACGGGAAGAGAAGTTTTAATTAAGGATGTTTCCTAGAGTCTGTATTGTAGCTATGGTAACCCTGTCTGAGTGAAAAGTTGAGATAATTAGGGCTTTTGACACTCTTTTTAAGGGTATTTCCTGAAGTTAAGTGGGGTTATATGGATTCTATAGAAAATTAGTGTACCACTGTTGTAAAGGAATGCCTTGCCATTTGATGAAAGCTTGCAGTTTGCCTTCTTTTTCAATGGCATGTTCACTTACTCTGTTGTAACAGTTTATCAAGATTTCAAGAGTCCAGTATTGAACGAAAGGGTGGAAATTGCTCACAAGACTGAATTTTATTCTTACGAAAGCTTATACGAACCAATCCTCACGAAAGCGGAAACGGACTGATCTTAATGAAAGTGAAAACAAAGTGATCCTAATGGAAGCGAAAACGAAGTGACCTTAACGAGAGCGAAATCACATTTTAACCTTTAAGCATTTAAGAGGCTATGTCTGTCATGTTCACTTGGAGTTTTGTCGTAAATGTACGAGAAACATTTTCGCAGTGACAGACGCTTGTTTTTTAGTTCTTTTGTCCACAAGCAATATTTATTTTTTGCTTTTTTGACCTACAGGTTTGGAAAATTGTACAGAGCCGTGTCTCATATACACTGTTTCAAATAGAATTGACGCAATTGAGTTAGCTTCGTCCAGAGTGGTGAACCTGGTGTCCAATCTTACGTTACCACTCGATCTTGATGTCCATGTAAGCGAAAGAACATTATACTGGAGCGATTCCAACCAACGTGTCATCAAACGTATGAACATGTCCAGTGGTGTCACGAAAGACATTATTACAGAAGACCATGGATATGTCGGTGACCTTGCCGTGGAATGGGAAAGTCGCCTTTTATATTGGACAGACTCGTTCTACCACAGGATTGAAGTTGCCTCCTTAGACGGCACCAAAAGAAAGGTGCTCTTCAGCGAGTCCTTGAGCTATCCGGCTGGAATAGCGGTGCACCCAAAGAAAGGGTGAGTAGAAAGTGTAAAATGGTCGCATCTATTTGAGGCGAGTTAGTTTGCGTCTCAAGGAATGAAAATTTGGCAAAGTATCTTTTTGCAGTGACATGGTTTTTCATAGAGGGGCTTGAAAATGGAATGAATTAACGGTCACTGACCTACAGAAAACAATGAGACATTATTTTCCCCTGCCGTCATGAGAATTATGCTTGCTCCATTATCTCTGAAAACGTACTCAGTGAGTTCTTTAAACTTATAACAGTACTAGCATTAAAAATTAGGAACAGTCATCGACGATGGTCATTTTTATTTACAATGTCACCCTTGAAGCCCTTATTTGTAACCTGCGATGAGGCGTTCCTTAATTTGAATTTTGCTGGGAGGGCGAAGCACCAGCAAAAAGAACGTACGATCTGAAAGAGACCCTGTTTCCTTCTTGCAGATGGATGTTTTGGACAGATACGTTGGGAGCTGCCAAGATTGAGCGAGCAAACCTTGCTGGCTTTGATCGAACTGTCCTGGTTGATCTCACCAATTCATCTCAGTTCTGGCCAAATGCTATTTCCGTAGACTATACTAACGATCGCATCATTTGGGTTGATGCCTGGACTGGTGCAGTTGATTCGGCTGACTTTCAAGGGCAAAATAGACGAATGGTGGCATCTCAAGTTCCCATGTATCCGTATGACATCATTCTCCATGGCGACACGCTTTACTGGAGCGACTGGGTAGAAGATGCTATTGAGATGCTTAATTGGACAACTGGCGATTACTTAGGAAACTTCAGCGCCGTGATTTCCGGTAGTGTTTATGGTCTCGGTCTACTCGATAAATCAAGACAACCAGCGTCAGCAGGTAATAAAGGTTAAGTTAAGTCTTTCAGTTTCCCATGAACATCGTCCTGTTTTTTGCTGATAAAACTCTAGCTTGATGTACCTTAAGGGGCTAGTTCAGGCAAGTTTGGAATAGAATTCTACCTCCCTTGGTCAAGCTTAAAGATATGGTAACGAAAAAGAAGAATATATGTACATGTTATGCTTTTCGTGAATATTACGTGAAAAATCAAGAATACAATGAATATTGATACAAAGGAAAGGACGAAAATATGTTTCTTTTTTTGATTTCTCTACTAGATAAAAAGAGCCATATTCTCTTTCTGCAATTAGTATTGAACAAAACCGGACATAGATATTTTAAAATGAGAAATCCTGTTATTTCACAACTGTAGTTCAGCTTCAATTACAATGGCAATTAAATCTGTTTGAAATTTGAAATTCACGTAAAAGGTTCTCTTCCTTTTAGAAAGTCAGCTCTGTAAAATAGACAACGGAGGCTGTAGTTACTTGTGCCTTTTGACACCCAACGGATCTCTTTGCGCCTGCCCTGATGGCATTCCTTTCTCAAAAGATGGTAAACGCTGCCTTGCAGGTAAGAATTTTCTTCTTCTGCCAGGGGATATTTTAATGATGGTTATTGCCATACGTTTACTAGTTGCTGATTCTAATTTGAATGTCCAAATAAAAACTTTATGAAGCCTAAACTGAAACCAGGGTTAAATAACGACAGCGAGGATACCGTTTTAATAAGGGGAGGTCAGATCGATCAATGCCGTTCATTGAAAAGCGAATGCCGCCCACTTACGGTTAAAAATTTAATTTTGGTGACCATTTTCTGATTTTCTGATTGTTACTTGCGAAATAAATCGATTTTGTAATAAATTGACCATATCAGCGCTTTTTAAAAAGAATAATGACAACAAATTAAGGCTGATCGATGTTACTAGCGTGAGCTATCTTGGGAAAAGGCTGCTGCTTATAGTGATGTGACAAAGGTGAGTGCCGCATAAAAACGACTGTAAGAAAGCAAAGAACTCAGCTAAAAGAGGTTAGGAATAAATCAAAACGTCCCCAAGACTCTAAATATCTCATTGATCTATGAACAATGTCTGGAATACTTTAAATGTCACCTAGAATCTAAGACCCTGTTCTCCACTACCTGGAAATTGAAAAAGGACTTTTCCGTTAAAATTCTTCTCATCTCAGTTTCAGAGATTACAACATTTCTTCTCTTTGCTGAGGGATCAAACCTGAGACAAATGGCTTTCAACGCTACAACGTCACGGAAAATCCCCCTCAAAGTACCTGCGTCGCAACCCATCGCGTTGGATTTTGACTTTTTGGAAGAAAAAGTCTACTGGGCAGACATAACACTGGGAACAATCTCCCGAGCGTATCTCAATGGATCATCTCAGGAGACCGTGGTGAGAGGTGGGCTCAACAACCCATATGGACTTGCTGTAGATCCGTTTGGTCGGAATATTTACTGGACAGACAGCACAGAGCAAGTAATTGAAATAGCATCCACAGATGGACTCTACAGACGAGTACTTATTAAAGATAATTTGCAAAATCCAAGGGATATTATCTTAGACGTCACTCGAGGGTATACAAATGTATCTTATTCTTTATGTGATTGTTTTAAAGATTATTCCAGTCAGTTTGTGTAAAGCTTTTAGTTTTGTGCGCCAAATATCAGTAAATTCGTGAATTCGTTAGACAAAACTCGATACAAGAGTTGTTTGTCATTGAAAGTTATATCTGGTTATGTGCAAAATGATTGGCCAGTTGCGGCGAATGATGTCAGATGTGATCGTTTCTTTGCGAGCCATATCACCAGTGGTATCTTAATTTCATCAAGAAACGACATCGATGCAAAATGACTTTCAGCAGGAATATTAATTTTTTTCATTTTTTTTTTCTTTTGTTTCGAAAAGTTTTTTCCAATTTTTGTTTTTATTTTACTTCTGCATTTTTTTCTTGCTTTTCATCACCAATAGGTACATGTATTGGACGGACTGGGGATGGGACGAGAGGATTGAGCGAGCAGATATGGATGGCACAAACAGAGGAGTGATTACTCGTTATGGACTGTTGTATCCTAACGGCCTGACTCTGGATGTTTCTAGGAATTGGCTCTATTGGATCGATACTTTTTATGGAAAATTGGAAGTGTACCAGTTTCCATCTAACACAAGGAGAATCATAATCCCCGCATATAGGGAACCATTTCTTACTTCTCCATTGGGGCTAACACTCTATGGGAGTAATTTCTTTTGGACTGACACACATCTTAATGGAATATATCGAGCGGACCGTAACACTGGAGGAAACGCTTCAAAAGTCCTATCTACTTCTTCTCGACCAGCTTTGATTCATGCGTATGACAGGAACATGAATATTACACCAGGTATAATTCAACCTCGATTATCACATTTATAGAATAGAAGTAGTGCGTAAAACGTACAACCGAAGGCTCGTATTTCATTAATTGCGGAACACAACCAAGCCGAGAAGATCTGGTTATCTCGTGATACGCAAAATGGTATTTTGCGTGCACGACAAGCTGTACTATGGGTATAACACGAGATACTATTTGAGCACGAGTCTAGGTGAACTTATTCTATCGCATGTTAGTTGCTTATGAAGTTGGACGGTTTTTCTTGGCCCACACTGTACTTATCGTGACATGTATTTAAAGTAAAGTGGTTTTGCCCTTTGGTCACATGTTCTGTTTGTAATATGGGCCTTTCCGCGAATATTTGATGTACATTAAAGTATTTGGTTTGTGCATTAAGAAGAACGGTTGCTTTCGTGCTAGTTGCTTTACTCTCTCTTAATGCAACACCAGAGATCCAACCAGTAAAAAGCAGCCGTTAACGGTTACATATTTGCTTTCAGTTCTCATTTATTATCATTATCGTTATCGTTATCGTTATCGTTATCGTTATCGTTATCGTTATCGTTATCGTTATTATTATTATTATTATTATTATTACCATTATTATTATTAGTTGTTGTATTGGCCCTTGCAATTCATTCTTGTTCCGTTTCCATTTTAATTCTTGGCAACTTGTGTAAAATTTAGACAAGATGAAGGTGTATTCACCTAAGTATGTTATTTTGTAGTAACGGATCAGTGCATGAATCAAAATGGTGGATGCAGTCACTTCTGCGTACTCTCAACCAGTGGTAAAAAATGTATGTGTTCTGCGGGGTTTTATCTTCAAGACGACGGAAAAGGTTGTAAAGGTAATAAATCAAAACATCCATTACACACCTGAGTTTGACTAAAACAGAGTGGCGTGTCTTGGAAATATTTTAATTTCTCTTTCTCAACAAGCACTATTTATCTCTTAAAGTGTTTATGACACAACTTTTCTCGTAGATTGGTAACGAGTTAATTAAAAATATTAATGTTTTTCATTTTTTTTAGATTTACTGTTTATAATACGAAACATAATGTTCTGCGGTAATTATAGATATCCACGTTCTTTTTCAAAAGCGTTCAGAGGCAAAATTCAAGAAACGGAATAAATTGATGAGAAGGAAAGGAGTTACTCCGACTTGTTTTGTCATTTCACTATTTGAAGCTGAGCAAGTAACGAAACTAATTACTTTGATTTTGTCAATCAGGTTTTCACAAGGGAATAATAATGTTTTTGATCGTGCGGAATTGCTAAAACTCAGGGATATCCGGAGAATATTACTCTAGTGATATTCCTCAAAGGCGGTGTCTCCTTCCAGAAAAAAAGAGGCCTTTGCATCAGTGATCTTAAGAGTAAACTTCCTTATCGCAGTGTGCAAACATTGTAATACATTTAAATGTCTTCCTACAGCTCAAAGAGAGATCCTACTTTATGCAGATTATTCATATGACAAGATAATGAGGGTTTCTCCGCACGACTCTGGATCATTTAATCGATTGCCGTTTTCAAACATCTACAGTCCTTTCGCGCTGGACTATGATAAAGTAGAAGACAGACTGTATTGGACACAATATGGACAGATCTCCCGCGCATTTCTTAATGGTTCTTCCCAAGAGACCATTATTGACGAGAACTTGTACACCACGTACGGACTAGCAGTGGACAGTGTTGGAAGAAATCTTTATTGGACCAATGCAGGAAAAAGTATGTTGGAAGTTTCTAAACTGGACGGTTCTCGTCGGATGGCTCTTATGACTCGTAACGTAGATCAACCCATGGACATTATTCTGGATGTTTATAGGGGGTTAGTATGCAGTTAACAGATGGATTAGTGTTCAAGTTAAATAGGCAAGGGGATAAACAGATTCTGAAGTTAAAACGGTCATAGGCGTTTCAATAGTTTCATTGCTCCAAGTTGCGACCGTTTTGGTCGCCGTGGCGAATGAAAAATTTTATAAGCGACTACAATTTTCAACAGATTTGAAAAAAGAAGTCTAAAAATTTATTGATGTTTGGTGGAATTATCAAACGTACAAACGCCAATGACGCAACATGAACTGTCCTTCCAAACGCTGTCCGTCTTCGTTCCTTTTTTGCTTATTTAGACACATTTGTATTTAGATAATTAGTATATATCACACAGGCCACAAATGCTTTTACACGTGCTCTGATTAGACCAATTCCGGAATATTGATAGGAATCGTGATTAATTTTTTTTCTGTCTATACAAAAAATGTTTTGAGCTCGGTAAAGAATTAAGAAAGATGTTTTTCGTCTTGTCACGAGCGTGGGACAAAGAAAAAATTACCATCTCTACTATTTCTATCTACAAACTTTACGCTATCGACATTGCTAATCCTAGAAGTATGCAGGACGCGTGTCATATGAACTTCGTAATAGACCTCGCTCAACATAGGGTCTCTGTGGCTCAGTGGTAGAGCATCGGAGCGCGGAATCCGAAGGTCTGAGGTCCGATTCTTCATAGGGACTCAGAATTTTTTCTTTGTCCCACGCTCGTGACAAGACGAAAAACATCTTTCTGAAGAAAGGTCTTAATACAAGATTAAGTACGCGTCTAATTGCCACTGTTATTCCACAATAACTTCATTTTAGCAAACTAGGTCATAATGTTACTCGTATCGTATTTTTCCTCGCTCCTATCGTACTCGGAAAAATACAACGCAACTCACGAAATAGTCGCGCGTATTTTATGTTAAGCCGTTGGATGAGGTAGAGAGATTGAATAGCGTGAACTGTAATGCAAAGTTAAGATTTTTGATTGAGAAACTCGGCATCTTTAACTACTACTTCCTTATAATGGTCCAACCTACAAAATTTCGTATTTTCCATATTTGACGAGGATAAACTTTTCTTAATACAAACACTCTGTGAAGGTATGTCCTTTTCTCTGAAGCAAAAAAATTGGTCACACACATGTTGATTACGACAGATTCCTTACACCTCTACGATTTCGATATGATACCCGTTGGCTACTGGCATATCATCTGAATTAGCTGTCGTTCCAAACACGCTTTAACGTCGAACCTTTTTAAGTTCCTTTGAGTATAGAGGCGTTTGCAAGAGGCCTCTTTCAAATTAATGTATGCCTGTAGTCAAGTTATACCCAAGAAATTACGTACAATTGTTTGTTTATTTAAAGTTGTCAACAAGTCGCTTACTACTCATGTTTTGCACAACATTTTTGTTTATAGAGTGATGTATTGGACAGACCGGGGCACTAACGCAAAAATCGAAAAGGCTGAAATGACAGGCAGAAAACGTGTCGTTATCGTTAGCTCAGGACTGTATCGGCCAGACGGTCTCACACTTGACAGAAAGAAAAACCGCTTGTACTGGATCGATGCCTGGTACCGAAAAATAGAATATCTGGATATGAATCAAAATAAGAGGGTGGTGCTGCTAAGTTCTTACAGCCTATATGGTGCCTTTGGTTTGACTCTGCTCGGAGATTACTTGTACTGGACGTCGGGTTGGTATAGTTATGGTGTTTATCGAGCCGATAAGGAGACTGGTAGCGGTGTCACCAATTTCATCAGCGGCACTGGATCGTTAAAAGGCATTCGTGGATATAACCTTAGTGAGCCCTTTCCAACAGGTAAAAATAAATTTAATGAGCAATATCGCATTTTGCATACATCTTTAAATACTAGCCCAAATTTTTCATAATTATATAATTTCGAACTCCAGTTAATCGTTTGCATTGCTCTCAATCTTTGATCCCTTTTTAGTTTAGGTCTCTTTTTGTTTGTCCACTCAGCAAACTAGAAGAGTCTTTGAAAGATTTATTCCGTCGGAAGGTGTCACTGAAGTTGTCGTTGTGTTACTCTCTTAAGTTCTTGAGAGACTCCTTCAGGAATTGATGGAAGCTAGTTCCCATACATGCGCTTAAGTGTTATGGGGAAGATGTTCTTACAAGTTGCAAAGCAGTCCGTATGGAAATTGTCAGTGGATAATTCTATTGCGCATGAGCCAATCGGTATATCTAGGCGCGCTCTCAGAGGAGTACAAAGTGAAGGCTATCCGGTTCGCTAACGTTTATCGCACGTTAATTTCTTGTAATAGAAGGTGGTTTCCCCATCATGAGTATATACCTAGCTTTCCTCATTTTACTCATGTCATCTCTCTCCCGTGTTCTCTACATTTACACACGCTCAGCGTGGTTGTGAGATTGAGTTAATAAACTTTAACCTCGCACAGTGGCACTGCCTACTTATAAATGCTCTGAGAATAATCCAGTTTACTTCACAATCGGAAAGTGCATGCAAGTTCTTTGATTGTCAGGCCGCAATGTTGAACCCACATAGCTTATATTGTTGTTGCTATATCGGATGGGTATTGCTAGCTAAAGCCTGCATTCGTTGGAGCGCGCCTCAAAGAATTCATGTCGACGAGGTCCCTAGTGTACCTGAGACACTAGCGATTTTTCCTTTTTAAGTGAGTGCGTACGGAATCATAATGGCCCAACTATATGAGCGAATCACGTCTTTAGAACCTAAGCGTACACACTTCATTGAAATATTATGCGATGAAGGACCGAATGGCTGGCTTTAGAATCTTGTAGGCTATCATTAAGGTCCCAAAGAATGGCTCCACGATCCTGAAACTTCTTTTTAAAATCCAGATCGTTTTACCATCAAAACTAGTGCCTGAATGTAGTAAATTAAACGATATCTTTCTTTAAACAGAAGGAAACTCTTCTTGCCTTGGCGATTGCAGTCATATTTGTTTGTTGTCTCCTAATGGAAGTGAATGTGCATGCCCAAGTCACTCGATCCTTGGAGAAGATGGGAGGACTTGTAAACACGACGGTAATTGAATGCACCACAAACCCCTTAGGGATACAATAATCCACGTTTTCTTTTTATGTTATTTTTATTAAAAGCGTCGTAAAGTTTCAAAAATCGAAATAAACATTTCAATTTTCCATTTTAATATTTGTAGCAAAGGGGGTCTCGTCCAATGAAGGCTTTTATCTTTGATAGCACGACCTAGAGTTCCAGACTAACACCTGAAATAGATGCAGGGGTGTTATGCTACAGTGCCCAACATTTTGTAGGGATTGATTAGGCTACTCCCATTAGGATTAGCTTTTAATCATTGTAATGATATAAATGCGAATGGAAAGAATTAGGTATGTATTTGAAAAGGGAGATCACATGGTTGACCAAATGGTAAAGCTAATCCTCCTTAACCTCTTAGCTACTCAAATACAATTACATCATCAAAAATTAATGAGTAAATTTTTTTTCTGGCGTTAAAACTTGAATTTTTCGCGCTTTTGTAAATCTGTTAATATTAGGTCCCTCTTGAACTAGATGGTTTGCTAAACTATTCTAAGGTTTAAGAATTTACGGTTTTTTTTTTAGTACCTCAAAAGATATTACTTTTCGCCGATGGAAGTCTGAGCCAAATGTATACATTATCTCTGGACAAATCGAACACGAGCGCCAAATTGGTACCAATGGCACATCCTATCAGTCGTCCTGCGGCGCTTGATTTCGACAGTACAGAAGACAGAATATATTGGACGGATACAAACTTGAATACAATATCTAGGATGTTTATTAATGGATCGTCTCCAGAGACTATCATTTCCAGTGGAGTTTATTATCCTTATGGGCTAGCGGTTGATCCAGTGGGAGGAAATATTTACTGGACTGATCATTCTCTTAACAAAATTGAAGTTAGCAGAATGAATGGATCAATACGAAAAACCCTGATTTCTCGAGATCTAGATAATCCAAGAGATATTATCTTGGATATCGACGAAGGGTAAGATTATAATCAGGTTTGCAGTTTAGCGGGGCGGGGGAGGGGGAGGGGTGGTAATAAAGAATGAATTTGGTCAAAATTATCGAAATGTAAATCCCTAACACTGCTCAGGAACAGCTTTTTTGAAGTGCTTGTGGATCAAAAATTTTGTTTTGTCTGAAATACGAAATCTGAACTTTGGAAACCCTTAAACAGCACTTGCCCTCTCTAGATTTTCCGGCTAAAGCGCGACTCATCGATCACTTGCATTGTGAATTGTCTCCACGCTTTTTATACTCCTGCCCCATATAGCTTGGTTTTCATGCACGTTTCGAATAGGTGCAAAAAATTGTCCTTTTTGTTTACTCATAGTATCACTGTAGATGTTATTTCGAGACGTTTCTTGCTGATTCATCGGTCTTCATCATGGTTTCTAAGAATGTTCAATGTTGGAATGTGTCATCTCCTGATCAAAGCTTGTTTTTATGTCGAGGGAAATAAGAGTATCTTTTGCATCTTTATTAATGATTATAAAACAAGTTTACTAAAGTTGAAGCGTGTTGTCGACTCCGTGGCGAACTTAGTCTCGTAGGTTTCACAACTTGTAATAATTGATTCCCTCTTTTGTAATTAATCACAGTTTTATGTACTGGTCCGACTGGGGTAGCAGCCACAAAATTGAGGTCGCTGGCATGGATGGAAACAACAGAAGCACACTGGTTAAAAGAGGGCTTTACTGGCCTAATGGGCTGACCTTAGATGGTGTAAATAACAGGCTTTATTGGGTAGACGCATGGTTCCATATGTTGGAATACTACGACTTACAGCGTCATACGATTACAACTCTGTTACGTGATAGATATGTATTATTGAACCCATTTGGTTTGACATTGCTCGAAGATAAAATATACTGGACCGATTCAAGTTCGGGTGTTGTTTATCAGTCACCAAAAGACTCTCCGTCAAATGCAACCGTTCTCGTCAGCGGTTTGTCACAACCATTGGATATACATGCCTATGACAGGAATCAGACTTTTCCAGGTATCAATCAGTCATGACCATTTCTCAATTTCTCTATCTCTCTTACACATCTGCTCTTTTCAATACATATTAATGGTATGAAACGATCTCCAGCAATTACGCTATTTAACATGTATGTAATGATACAACCTCTAGCTATTTCTTTCTTTGTCGACTCCAGATCAGTCGCACCGGGAGACTACCGCTTGACCTTTCGTTCCTTAATAATGCAACAAAATATATTCTCCGCATAAGTTTTTGCTAGGTGTGTCCAATTTTCACGATTATTTGCTCTAAATGTTGAATCGACAAATATTTCTTTTGACTCTACTTTTAGACCATCCCTGTTCCATGTCTTCTGGTGGATGTTCTCATCTCTGCCTTCTGAGACCGAAGGGATTCAAATGCGCATGCCCCGATAGTCTCGAACTGTCGAAAGATGAGAAAACCTGTGTCCCACAGACATACAGTAAGACACGTACAACATTGTATCGTACTAGTCATATTCTTGACTATTTAAACTCTTATAATGTAAATAAATAGCTTTACTACGAGAAGAAGATTTTCATCAATCTTTTCCCCGACTCTGGCTCCATTCTCATTATTTTAGTTCAAACTCATTTTATGAAGGTATTCTTGACATCAATTCTTGTATTTTCGTCAGAGTTGCAGCAATAATAAACTCTTGCGTCTCAATTTCAGTTTCGTATCAGTTGCTGCAGTGAATCTAAATGATAATTTTGCCTGTATTCAGCTCGCTGAGCTAACAGCATTGTTCGTTCAGGTTTTCAGAAATTCTTACTGTTTGCTGATGCCTGGAATGCCGAAATATACATTCTCGATTTGGATGAATCCAATCTTTTGGCCAAAGCTCTGCCGATAGGAGCCTTCATGTATCGACCAGTTGCACTTGGAATGGACATTACAGACAATAGAGTGTACTGGACAGACGTCAGCCTAAACAGTATCAGAAGGGCATTCATAAATGGGACATCACCAGAAGTTCTCGTTTCTGTAAATGTGTCTAATGCTGATGGACTTGCTGTTGACCCTGTGGGAGGAAACATCTACTGGAGTGACGTTTTCGCCAAAAGGATCGAAGTCTGCAGAATGGACGGAACCATGAGGAAAGTATTGATCGACAAGGATCTAGACAAGCCAAGGGATATAATTCTTGATCTTTCTAAAGGGTAAATACTTTTACCTAGTCATTGTCTCCTAAAAGTGATTCCTCTGTAATGCACAGCGCATCCTGCACTGCGCATACTGCATTGCGCATAAAATAATTTGGTGAGCAAGCGCGCGCATTGTAAGAACATGGTATTTGTTTTTTATTTAATGGATGATGTAAATAGGAACGATGGTCTTTTGCTCTTGAACGAGCACGTTTACCTATATTTTTTAGTTCATGATCTTGTTGAACAAATTATTTAGTAATCACCTTATTTTTTGTACACTCTATAACAAAAAAAAAAGTATATTTAAAAAAGAAGCTTACTAGTTAAGTTCTACAGGATCATTTTGTTTTCATTATTAGTGGTCTCAGGACGGTTTCAAATACAGCCTTCTAAACAAGGGTCTCGATGGAGTTATCCATTAGCCGTTAGGCGTAAAATTGACAAATTTAAACCGACAGTCGTAAAAAAAGTTAATCTTTAACATTTTTCCTTCCTACTATTTGTCATTTTGTGTCATTTTGGGTTAACCGTAGCCGTGAAATGGCCAAACTTTTAACCGTTAGCCGTAAACAGTTGGTGTGCTCCTTGCTCTTATTAGGCAAGTTTCAGCTTACGAGATTGTGCAGAACGGTATATCAGTGCCAATTTGTTTCAAGAAAAAATTCGCATACCTTTATGTCTTACCAAGAGACTTAACCCAACCAACCGTATAATCTCTTGGTCTCACTTTACTAATATACCACAGGAGCTGTTTAAGAGATGTCATCACAATCTCTTCTTCCTTAGCCATCAGCGCACTTTGTCGTTAAGAGGGAACATTTGCCATAGATATGCCACTTACTTGGTTTTTGCTTTGTTTAAGGTTGATGTACTGGTGTGACTGGGGTACTGTGCCTAGGATTGAAGTTGCTAACATGGACGGAAGCAGTCGGCAGATATTGGTAAAAAGAGGATTATACTGGCCAAATGGTCTCACTTTAGATGAAGCAAATAATCGGCTCTACTGGGTGGACGCATACCTTAACACCCTTGAATACTATGATTTGGAACGTCACACAATAACAACTTTGATGGAAGATGGTTATAAATTACCACATCCGTTCGGTTTGACGCTGTTTGAAGATCACTTGTATTGGACGGATTGGTGGTTAGATGTTGTTAATCGAGCGGAAAAGAAGACACTTTCAAATATGACGGTTGTTGCCAAGGGCCTTGGTCGACCCATGGATATACATGCATATGATAGAAATAAACCTCTTCCAGGTAAACAACTTCTAAAACCCTAGCTCTATGTCTTTTTTGTCTTCTCTGAGTCACCTCCTTTAGAGCCATTTTGAAGTGATGTCTATAGTGCCGTCAACATTAAGCAATGGCTGCTTTTTTTTCAGCTATCCGGAAGCTGTGAAAAAATCAATAATGGATTGCTTACTTCTGATCTACTCGACTGAAGGCGTTTTACTCAAGAGCAATTTTATGCAATTATCAGCTTTTTAAAAAACAGAGACGGAAGATGAAAAAATATATATATATTCTCCATAATTGAGAATATTTGTAGACTGATTCTCGTCTTGCGTTCTACCTTGAAATCAAATCCGTAATCATACAGTTCGCGGTTAAAGCTCAACAAAAGCTTATGTTCTCTTAGTTTGTACAAGTTATCATGATGGTTTGAGGCAAAGAATGAAAACTAGTAACTTAGTTTCCAATCAATGATTAACAGACACTTACCAAACTACTGTATACATAGGTATACTAGGAGCTGGAGGTGGACTCGTACTTTTTCGTATAAATTTGGAGGAGATCAAATCAAAAGCTATCAAAAAAAGGAAACAGGTCACTTTGCATTTCTCATGGTAATGAGCGCTTGACTATGTTGAAGTTTCTTCGTCACCAGATCACCCCTGTTCTAAGTCCTATGGTGGGTGTTCTCACCTGTGCCTTTTGAGACCGGATGGATATCGGTGCTCGTGTCCAGACTACCTGCAACCCGGTGAAAATTGCTCTAGTTCTGGTAAGTGGTTTACTTGAGGATGGCCGTTTGGTTTCGACTAACTATATCGAGAATTTCAGTCAAATATACCCTTGCCAGACGTTTTCCAAGTCAGGTCCACACAAAACAAAGCAACGACAGTTGAACAACAGCTTTCTTTACTCGACGAGTAAGCTCAGTACATACCGTCCGATTGTTAATGCCAAACACACTGTACTCGTACGTTTTTTCAGGCAAGTTTTCTTTAAGCGTCGAGTGCATAAAGTTTTTCCCTCTCATAACAAATAACGTCCATGAGAATTTCCCTCCCAAAGGAAGTTATTCTTTATTTAAAGGGGTAAGTTTCTAAAGAAACTGTGGTGTTGTGTCAGTGAGAGATTATAACAGGGTAATTTAGTATTATCTACTGAGTTGATAACTTTAATTGGCCACCGCAAAGAGTTACAAAGCTGACGTTTCGAGCGTTAGCCCTTCTTCAGATGACGAATTACTGTTATTTATGTCTAATCAGAATCTTTTTTCTGCGAAATCAGTCCACCTCTATTCTCCACCTTCTTCAAGTACGCCTGAAGCCACAACAACACAGCAGTCAGCCACCACACAGCAGTCAGCCACCACACAGCACTCAGCCACCGCACAGCACTCCGCCACCACGCAGCACTCCGCCACCACACAGCACTCAGCCACCACACAGCACTCCGCCACCACACAGCACTCAGCCACCACACAACAGTCAGCCACCACAGAGCCGTCATCCACCAGACAGCAGTCATCCACCACACGGCAGTCATCCACCAGACAGCAGTTATCCACCAGACAGCAGTCATCCACCAGACAGCAATTATCCACCACACAGCAGTCATCCACCACACGGCAGTCATCCACCAGACGGCAGTTATCCACCAGACAGAATTCATCCACCACACAGCGGTCAGCCACCACACAGCAGTCGCCCACCGGACAACAATCAACTCCTCCAGGTCCTTATGATTGTCGTTCGAACAAGTGTAAAAATGGAGGATCTTGTGTAATCCCTGGTTATTTTTGCGAGTGTCCGAAGTATTATGTTTGGGACCTCTGCCTTGTTTACGTTGGTAAGCGTAAATCGATTAAATTGAGCTTATACTCTTGTTTATCAAGCCGATTTGGTTAAACCAGGTCATCTGTTCCCTTATACCACAGAGAATTAGTATGCGGGGAAGATGGTAGAGATGTACTTGTAATCTATCTGGGCCGTGCTCTACTGTAATCGTATTTTCGTCGTCCTTAGATCTACCGCATGCACCACAATTTTGGGCAAGAACTTATGCAGGAACAGGCCGAAAATGAGAACTTTTCAACTAAAAACGGAGTAAATTACAGGCTAGATTGTAAGAATTCCTATTCTAGAGAGGTACTAAGGATATCTTACTCCCCTTTGTGTCAGTAGTCATAAAAGATCAACTAGGGTTAGAAAACACGAGTATGGACAAAAGATGCAAATCATAACACAGGTTCTAGATCAATACAAAAGTTAGCTGCAAAACTCAAAATGAAAGTGAAGAAGCTGCCCAGAAATAAAATTAGTGCTTGTTAGAAGGACTTCATAACATCATGTGAAAGGTTTGATATCTCTCAGTAACATCATTGTAATTGTAGGAGGTACTTTTAAAAATGCCGTTCTTATTTTAGGTTCAAGCGCCGTAGAAGTAGAGATAAATCTTCAAAACGAGGTAAGGATGCTGCATTTTGTTTCTTGCTGATACCCTTCCCCCTCGCCCCCAGCGTAACCAACCTTGCATATTTCTTTTAAGGCATAAAGCGTTCCGTAGAAAGTGCAAGAACGGTGAATCAAGTTTTCATTGGCGGAAGAAGTCAACATTTTTTATTTCTTTTCCTTTGTTATCCAGACCATCAATTTCAACAATGACTGATTCCCCATTTGGTTGACGAATATCCAATAACCGTATGAGCTCTAGAAAAAACAATGGCTACTGCTTCCTTACGAACCGCATCTAGATCTGGAAAAGATTTAGCTTTTTTAAAGTGGACTTGGAACTGAATTTCCAATGTCGGATCCTTTGCTCTGTCACCAAATAGGTTTGTTTCGGTGGATTCGCTTTCATCTCTTCCACTTTCAACAAACAACAGCTCTAAATGAATAGCGCCAGGAGCTAAATAAACCTCAAGTTGTGTTTATCTTGAACAAACTTCTCACCAGATAGCACAATCCTATTTTCATTTTATTGAATTCTGTTTAGGCACAATGGACAACGTATAACTTCCGAGCTGCAGTGGCAAAAGCTTGCACGGGTTTTTTTTGCGGAGATGAGGAATGTGCAAGGTAATGATAGGATCTGATTTATGTATTTGCCCTCCTTGCATCGGAGAGTTGACCTTCTTTATTTAAAAAAACTTGAGAAAAAAAATCAAAATGCAGATGAAACGAATTCCTTTATCTGATTGACAAACGCTCGCATATTCGTGAATTTTACGTCAGAGGAAATTTTTGACAATCTTATTATTGATATCAACACCTTCAACACCTCCTTTAGACCAGATCTTTCAATCAGCGAATTTTTTCAACCCCCCCCCCTCCCCTCCCCCTACCACCGCATTTTAGGCTTTTCCTTAAATAAGTGTGAATTAAAATTCACTTGCAGGATGTCAAAACGAGATGTTAATTCGGGAAAGAAATTCGTGGCTTCCGACGCCAAAATACTTGGACTTTCCATTAGTGGGGAAAATACTTTGAAAGTAGAAGTAGCTGTTTTATTTCCATCTGTGGAAGGCCAGGTTCCTGAACCTGTACCTCGTGCTACACTGGAACAAATACTCCAGAAAAGTGAAAAAAGTCTTGGGGCAGCCATTGGAGGCACAATCATTAGAATTGGTAATAACACTTTTAACCTTAATCGCGCTTCTCTGGAAAAAGGCGGTCAGCCAGTTTCTTATAATAATATGAAAGCAAGACATACCATAGAGTTTGAGATCTATTGTAGGTTAATGGACGACTAGCTAATATCTCCTCCGGGTTCCTTTGTTATGGAGAACCACACACTTCTGTCTCCAGACTCCGACTTCTACATCAATAAATGCAGAGTTTCAGAAATTTAGGGATTTCAAAGCTTGTAGCTTGGTCAATAACCGAGACAAAAGGAAGCGTTTTGGTTACAAACTGAGCTAATTCTCATAAGCCACCCCTTCAATATGTTATCATAGAAAATCGAAGTAAGGCTGCCTTGAAAACTTTGCGCCGATTTAAGTCACGTTTATTTTTTCACATCTTTTTTTTTGGCCTCCATTTTTGAGTCATCAATTCGGTGGTTAACTTTAGCTTATTTGTGTGACCCTAATTTTCAGTCAATGTACCGAAAATTCTCGATATCTACCGGAACGTTTTAACGATTTCGAAAGAATAGATTTTCGTTTCGCCCACCCTCCCTTCACAAAGCCTATATCACAGACTTTATATGAAGTGCTCCAAGCGGTATGATTCCTTCCCTTGTACACTATATACTAACACGTAATTTAGTGTTAACAACTGAGTTAAAAAATGTAAATTGGTAATTGCAATCGCTCTGACGAAGGGCTAATGCTCGAAACTTTAGCCTTTAAACTCTTTACGGTGGCCTATTTCCGTTTCAACTCAGTTGTTCACACTAAATTACCCTGTTATACTCTCCCACTGACGTAGTACCACAGTTTCTTTAGAAACTTGCCCCCTTTATGCACTTTACTAAGTTTGGCGACGATTATTATATAATATATCCACATTTGTGTCAAACATTGCAGGAGTTGTTTCTTTTTTTAATACCATGTTTGAGGTACGTGCGGTATATGAGCTTAGATACTAAGGCCTGTGCACCAATCAAAACTTAGGACCTGATATGTATCACAGACACTTGTAAACTTTTAAACGATTATCACATTCTACCTTTTTTTCAAGGCAAAAGACAGGTAGAGAATCCAACAAATACTGAAAGGTCTACTCAGGATAAAGAGACGTTAAACGTGCCAATTGTTGCTGGGTTAGGAGGCACTGTTGTTCTGTTGGTGCTAATCGTGGTATTCTTCGTTTACCAAATGATGCGGTGAGGCTTTCAAAAGAAGTTACTTTCTTTTATTAATCAGTCAATCGACCAGTCATTTTGAAGTAAGCCAACATATTTTGGCTTTGACATTTACAATCCTGCTAATCTCTTTCGTCCTTGTCATTCTCCTTCCTTTTTATATTCCATTCTGCACCTTCTTGCGCTTTGGAGTCTCAGTGTACTTTAGAAAGCTTTTCAGTATTTTATTGTTTCATTCTATTATAAATCGCTTACTCCTGCTACTGAAAAAATAAAACGAAACATCGCGACGTAGTCCCTTGGAGCTCGGAGACGTCCCAATAAACTGCAACTGCATTGGAAATTTCATTTATTTCTATACTTGAAAATGGAGAGAATAAACATGACAGAAGGTCATTTATAAAGAATGGCCGGCTGTTGTTGTGGTTGTTTCTTTTTTTCTTAAGATATGTCTGATTTGTCTTACAGGAAAAGAAGTCGTACAGGGAAAAGGACAGACGAAATATATTTGGACAGTGACTTTGTGCACCCCAGGGCCAATTCTATGGTTACATTTGAAAACCCAGGGTATGTCGGGGAAAACACGACGTATGAATCCATCCACCACAGAAGTGGATCGGTGATATCCAGACAAGAGCAAGCCAACGGGGTTGGATCCTTGGACAACAACAACGCCACACAGCAAGCAACCGAAAAAACTTTTATGAGTAACCCAACCTATGGTGTGCCATTCACTAAAGATCCTACAAATATCGAAGATTCTGAAAATCGCTATGCCACCATTGAGGAGAAGAAGACAGAGCCCTAGGCGAAAGAATCCGAGTTGGCTGATAGAGTTAGTTACGTAAATCTTGTAGAATAGCACAGAATACATTGATAGTAACATGCTGTAGCGAAAGTGAATTAGGTTTCCCTGGCAACTTCATTTTTCTTTGTTTATTTCTTAAGAGCTTTAGCTACAAAAAACATGCCGGAGTCGATATTTCCACAACATCCCTATCGGCTTTTTTTGGGGCTCGATGTTGGAATAAAGAGAGATTCTTTCAATTCCTTTAGTCGCAAGCTTGGCACAAACGGTTTTTTTTCACTTTTTTTTTTTCATTTTCCCTCCCAAAAACCGACGAAAGTGCGTGTTTTTCCATCTACACTGCCAAGGGAAACTTGTTAGTTTGAATTCACCATTTATATTCCTTTAGTTTGCCTTGCGATCTCTCTTGAAGCAGGAAAAGGATAGGGTCAGCATGAAAATCTGATTGTATAAATTGTGGCAATAACTAAAATTTTTTTAACATTATGACGAAGCTACGCTTTAGCATCCAGTTCTTGGCGGCGGTAGAATTAAATAGATTTCTGTTGTCTTTGAAAAAGTATGCACAGCGATTTTTAACTATTAGCCTTTGCACAATTACTGCTGTTAGCATGAAGGCTCCAGTTGAAGAGAATTGGGATGGTATTACCTCTTGAATGCTTGAGAAGGATCTCCCTTGCTCTCTTTTATGCAATAGTTGTTTGTCATAAGGGCAGCAGAGAAGAAAGAATAAGGAATTAGTCATATTACTCTTACAAGTACTGACGATATTCCTAATCACAATATTTATGTTGCATGCATTTTGAAATTGTTAGATGCACCTTTCTGTTTATGTTATTATAGCAAATTAATTTGACTTTTGCTTTTTGAATGGATCACGATTGGCTTTCTTTCGTTTTAATCTACTTAGTTTTTACGTATATTCATTCCTGGTGTGAAATCCTCGTTAATTAAGCGAAATAAAGTTTCTTGAGTTATTTTAATGTCATAAAAAATTAGATATTTTTTTCCATCAGTGTTATTTCAAATAATCACAGTTAGAGAGAAAAGATTAAAGATCTTAGGTTAATCATGTTTCAATGTTTACTTTGCATGTTATAATCCCTGTTGATGTTATTACCCAGCTTAATATCTTTCCTAGTTCGTTCATTATATATTTCCTATAGTATTACTCGTATTGGGTCAGTGTTTCGTTTTGCTTTCTCTTTTTTGTGTTTTCTTTGATCGCGGCCTCTGAAGGAAATCTTCTCATTCCCTATTCTTTCTCTTTCTCGCTTCCTTCTGCGCTAAGCCGATACAGCATTCCATTTTCCTTTTTTTGCACTTTATTTTGCGTTATTCATCATATCTATTTGTTTTCCTTTTACCGAGTCTTTACTGCCATTTGTGTTCTTGTGTTTCTCCTTTTGCCGGCATCCTACTCCTTCCCGACCTCCTTGAAAGAAACTTATGAAAATTCATTCCTTTTTAATAAAAATAGTCCTTCCAGAAAAAAAAAAAAAAAAAAGCTTAAAGGACTGATCACTTTAAACAAATTGGGACGATGGGCTCGTCGACTCATTGTTCGGAACGTGTCCGTTAATATTGCGTGACAAGTTCGTGACAAGTTACCTCGTGTGAAAACGTCTCAGGGAAATTTACGATTTTTGGTAGCGAGCGAGCGTGACAGTTTTGTTGCTAAAACCATAATTACGGAGACCTTTTGTAGTGGGTTATTTGGTGTTACACAAACTTTTCCCATACAATTCAGTTCTCTCGCTCCACAAACCGTATAATTTGTCATGCCTTGAGCACGAGAATGTGGACTCAGAGTCTCTGCCGTCAAGTTCTTGTGTATCATTTAGACAGTCCGGAGATCTATTATGCCGAATACTTCTATGTTTTGTTTCGTCGTTGCTTTTGTGTAATATACAGCAAATGATCAATCCCCATTTCGCTAAACTAGCAGGGCATCAGCCCACCTGAGCCCCCGATTTGATATTCCAGCAGTCGTAGTTACTACTAGAAACTATTTACACTGTCATGTTTTTCTTCTTCAAAGTCTCGCAGTGTAATACGAAAATATTTTTGCAACGGTCCGTCCTTTATTTAAGCACTCCAACAAGTTTTTTTCCTTATATATTGGTTTCAGCCTTTTAATCTACTTTGTCTGTTGGATACGGGAAATGCTGAGTTTGAAATTTTGCGGATTGCTCCGATGAGTTACAAGCGGGAAATTATAAGGGGTTTGTTTACATCTAACAGAGTAAGATTTAAACACACATTTATAGCATTCTTTCCCTTTAGCGCTTTTGCACTATTTATATATCAACCTTCACAGATGCACAGAAGCCAACATTATGCCGGTGGTGACGATTATTTATTACATGTATTTGTAATTTCGATTAATGGGGCATTTTCTCCAACATAGGTACATGCATTCTTTCTGAGGTTAGAGATGACTAAAGAAAAGGATGATAACTTGTCGAGGTCTACAAAATGATCTCCATAAGCGTTGCAAGGGGTTTTTGATATCTGATTCATGTTAGTAGTTTCAGAGGTCTTTCAATGTTTGAATTACTTCTATTTAAGTTGACTGTCATCACTAAACCAAAATTCTTCTTCCTTAATTTGTTTTCTTTTCCTCATCAGATCAGGTTAGATTGGTCCATAATTACTGAATGGCAGACAGATGGATGGAGTGATCAACTGACTTATGGACCGACTGACTGACTGACTGAGTGCAGGACTGTTTGCAGTTTAACTGGCCAACTGACTGAATGACTGACTGACTGACTATCCAACTGACTGGCTGACTGACTGAAGAGAAAATGAACAAATGAATAGATGGACTGATGGATGAACAAGCTGACTTCCTAAGTATCTGAGAGACTGACTTACTTACTGACTGATTAACTTACTGACAGACTTACTAATTTACTTACTAACTGACTTACCAACCTCCTGGCTGAATCTTGTGGACTTTCCCATTCATTTCTTTGCTGAACCAGGTAAGAAAAACTAGTACTTGAGCCTTTAGTTGACCAGGTTCTGTACCTGACTAGGTCATTGGGGCTCTTACTTGGTGTAGAAGACACAGTATTCGTCACAGTAGAATTTCATCACAACTGGAAATAAGAAAACAATGAAAACAATAGTGTGACATATACTGTGTCTTCTACGCCAAGTAAGAGCCATCATTGCAGTGCATTCTTGGGGAGGATTCTTTACTCTCACCCTACCTCTCTCTACCCAGGAGGACAAATGGGTAGGGGCAAGCTGTCAGGAAAACCTGTTGCAATGTGAGGAGTATCCTGGGATGGGCAAGCACTCCACCCAGTGGGGATTAGCTGTACTTTCTGGTTGTTTTATGCTTAGGGTATGAGGACAAGTTACAGCCAGATGAGTGACTTGGCTCAATTGTAGGCTTTAACCTCAACCCACTTTTTTTTTTCTTTTTTTTTTTTCATAAGAGAGTAAAGGTATAGGGTGGGACCCAGAAGTCTTTATAGTATCAGCTAGTCTTATTACTCCATGTTACAGTTCTGGTTATATTATGAATCTATACCTCATGGATCACTATGAATCTGGGCCATACATATTCAAATTGTCTGGAAAATGTTGCTTTGAAAAGGTTTATTCTAGGGGTTCACTACCATTCTTTGGGGGAAGAAGGCTATAATTGTTGAGGTACTTAAGGATTACATCTGCCTTAGGAATGATCTATTTTAAAAATAATGAAGATGAAAAATTTTCACAGTGAGCCACCCAATTTGTTCTTTCAAATTTCTTGGTAAGAAATATGTTTATTTTTTTTTTGTTTGGGAGGTGGGGAGTTAGGGGTGAATCTCCTGCATAAATTTTTCTTCCTTTAAGAAGAAGTTTGACGGGCGAATCATGCAGATTTCATTCTTAGCTGTCACTTAGCAAGTTTTAAATCTTGTATTTGCTCTTTCTGCTGTAGATTTCTCAATGCTCCATCACTTGTGTTTATTATTGACAAGAACTATAAACCAAATAAACCATGGTTATACAATGTATGTGATCTTTCTTTGTTTTTGTGTTTTGAAGGCCTACAACAGTCAAGCCTTACATGAGTTTGGTTGTATTGGCATAGCAATCTACAAGCTTCACTATAATTTTAACAGGTTAGAAAGTTCTACTTCCAACTTGCTCTAGATCTCTTTTGTTAACCAAGGCTGATTCTTGCAAAGCATCATCCAGCACATATTCGTTTTGAATTTTTTCCTCGTGGCTTAATTTATTACACAGACAGAGATGTTCAAATTAACTGTGCGTGTCACTCAGCTTTGAAGGAGAAACAGGAAGTAATGGTTGGGGTCTTTACCATCACTTACAGCGTAGTTTATCACTTCGTTAAAAGGGGAATGCATTACTAAATAATAAATCTATATTCAAATGGTGAAATATCCATCTATTATGAGTTGGCCTTTGATCAAATCACGAAATTTTCCTTCTGTTGTTGTAGTATTTCAAATTAACACCTAGAAAATAGCGAAAGAGTCGCAAGTATGGAAAACATGAAACCGAAAGTTGACTTTCGGGCTAAACCCCGATGCGTCATTAGGAAAAAATTTGTTTACAGAAGACATTTCTCACTTGATAAAGATGAAATATGTTTTGGCAGAGATCAAAAGTTATTGCTTAGTCAGCGTTTCTGAAAATTCTGTTATTTTTGGGACCTTACACCAAGCGTGAAATTAAATTCAATTCAATTCAAGTGTCAACGGTCTCATTGGATAATCGGCCAACAAAAAACGATAATTGCAGCATATTATAATAATTTATGGCCCGTGTAGTTACGTTTTATAGGTTAAGCAAAGTAGAGCTCATCAGAGCGGCATTGAACGTCATAGACACAATATCAGGGAAATCTTTCAAGGAGGTTGTTTGAAAGACTTAGTCATCAATCAAAGGTAAATTATTTTACCCTTTTTTGTCAGATCTCGCCAGCTTCCTATTGAAGTAAGGGGCTTCTGGTCCAATTCCAGTCGATTAAGTGTTGAATTTCCGACAAACTTGTGCCATGATTTTCAACTTGCGTTTTCTTTGTCTAAGATAGCAAAATTAGGTCGTAGTTTTGGTTTATTTACATTCAGATTTCTCAAAAGTCGATATCATTACCAGAACTGTCGCTGGAACCGTAAAATTCTGCGATACGACTTCGGAATTAGCAATCTTGCATTGTTAATGCTTTCGCGAGGGAACTAAAAAAGCGAAAGGATAAAAACGTTATTTGTAAACCAAGAAAGTGAGGGAAAAAGTAACCAAGAGGAGAAGATATTATTTAGGTGAACGTGATTTCTCTCTTTTGGTCTAAGCATTTTCAAAAGTGGAAGTTTTCATTTTCGCTCGAAATTGCAGTCGAGAGTATAATCGAAATAGATAATTTTTTTCAGCGTTTTCGACCGGTCTTCTTTTTGGCGATAACTAATGATAGGGCGATACATTAATAAGCCAGTGTGTTTTATTATACGTTTAATGCATTTAACGTTAATTTTTTGGTGGTTAGTCGAACACGCACTTTGAAAATATTATCTATTTTTAGTATTGTTTACATGTATGTCATAAATTTCGCGGGGATTCCCCTTGGTTATGTTATTTGCGTCGATTTAAATCATGCGTGCAGCTTGTCAAAACAATCATTGCTAAAATTATCGAAAATCCATATCAGTTACAAACAATGGAAAAGTATGACTGAAAATTTCACACTTCCTGCTAAACAAAAAGTAAATTTCGTGATTGCGTGATCTCGAAATTTTGATTTTCCTTTACACAGCACTTTCAGTTTCAATTTCAACGCATGTATTTCGATCAGTCGTCATTGTTATGTTATTCTTTGGGATCCAAATAAACTGACAATTAATCCCTTACCCTTAGAAGCTCCCTAACTCTTTTTAGCGTTCCTGAGTGGTCTAAATTAGATCGATAATACTAGGATGATTACTTAGGTGGACGTTTCTTCTAAAGCTTTTTCTCGCACATTCAGCTGTCATTTGTAATTGTGTTGTCTCACACATTTTTGATTCAGCGGCGATTCAGTGCGGTTATCCCGGACTCTCTGAGTCCTGAAGTCTACTAAAATAGCTCTCAAGCACATGATGTCATATACAAAAGAGCTTCGTTTGCACTTTCGGTTTCAATTTTCCTTTGTTTTAAATATAAAAGTCTTTAGGTCTAAATCGTCACATCCATTTTCGAAAGAGAACAACTTTGTTAAACTAGAAGCCTTGTTGGTGCCCTCGTGAAGTCGAAACAGTCGGTCTGGCGCGAGTTGTGCTGTATTTTCGAACGCTGCCTCAGGGTAAGTTTGAATGCAAAATGCAAACGATAGAGGATTTATAATCCTTGAGATGAGGCTCATACGTCAGTTTGTTATTGCACGCGAACTGATTTTTAACTGATCTTTTCACCTTCGTTGCCAAAAAATTAATGAACGTATCCCAAGCTGCCTTCAAGTCACTAAATTAGTGATGAAGGAATATGAATGAAGAATTTAGATCAGACAAATGAGCAAGAACAAAATTTTGCTCCTTTAACAGTATTATGCTAAGCTATTCATCGGAACTGTGATTTTGGGGGTAATACTTCTGGAATAAACAGCAATATTACATGTTGATGCTTTCATTTGAATCCTACAGTGACGATAATTCTGAATCCAGTATGATATCTCATCTTCACAAAAGTCTAAATGAGCAATCTTTTCTAAACTGACCTAACTTCGTTTAAGAAAGACGTCACTTAACATGATCATAACTTGTCGTAATGGTATTGCGGGATATTTCCATTTGTCTGGGTCGTATTTGTTGGCCGAAAAATAAAATTCCTTTCGAAGGCTAACAGCACGACGAAAATCACCTTCGGGTAAACTAAGCAGAATTACCAACATTCTTTAATTAAATTATAGAGACAAAAAACCAACATGAGCCTTGTACCTATTCCTTGATCCTATTAGTAAGCATTCAGTTTTTCTCTGATGATCCCCAATCCCACCCCTGTAAGTGCTAAAGCTGACTGATATCCCTTCCCTTGAGAGTTTCGCTCTTTCATACTATCACATATCCCCTCAAAATAAATAAAAAAGGAAAAGATGAAAAATCCTCTGGCAGCTTTGGAGGGGTAAGGAAGCCCTCCACTCTCTTCTAAATCTGGATCAAACTATCCTTTCTGTGTCTTAATTTCAGATTTTTCCGTAGGTAAAGGAAGAAAAATGTGGAGACATCTGCTCACGGAAACTGTGCCGCTTTTGACAGGGCCGTGTCGGACAGCTGGTGTTTCAACGCTATCGCGACATACGGTAAGTTCAGAAACAAGCACATGTCCAGAATTCATAAGTTTTGAAAACTCACCGTCCTTCTTGGGTCCTGAAAAAATCGCGCTGGGAAGCATGAGTGGGGCGGGGGGAGGGGAAGCATGGGTGGGGCGGGGGAAGGGGGAGCATGAGTGGGGGGGGAGGAGGAAGCAAAATGTCCAGCGTGAAATTATTATACTGATTCTCTGACGCAACCGCGGCAGTTGTAATCTACACCTGGGAACATGACACAGGAATGAAGTGATATTATCTATGCTTTTCGAAAATCAACCAAGTTCATGATATCTGGCGTAAAATTACCGTGAATCATAGAAACAAGTCCACCGCCAGGGACGTGACCTGAGTTCGAGATTTACAGGATAAAATTTACAATCATATACTAAATCGAAATGCACAGCTTGCGAAGTCACTAACATTCTAAACATAGAGAGTAAAAGAAGAGTAACCTTTTAAAGGAGTAACGCCGTAGAGGAGGGGCAGGATGGGTTATACTGAGGGACTAGTCATTTTGCATTGGGGGGGGTCGGAGGATTTTGATTGTGTCGCAATAAATTTTATCAAACCCCTCCCTAAGGCTCTGTAGTATTCTTATGACCACCCTCTCACTAACAATTGATTTTCTATGGTTCCCACTTTTATATTCTGTTAGCGACGACCGACCCCTCCGACGAAATCCATTTGATCCCCCAAAGTTCTCCGACCGCCCCCCCCCCCTTTTATTTATTTCTTTTTAGGCGACTAAAAAAATTACTGTACCTTGGTTGCATCACAGAATTTCACGCCCAGGGATGTGTCCTCCTTTAATGATCTTTACTTGATAACTTTTTTTTTTTCAGAACTTTGCTGGTCATCATAACAACCTGACACTTGGCGCTAAGCAGAGTTCCTTCGTGAAAATAATTAAGTCATTGTGGCACCGTGCATTTTCTTCCGCAAGCGGTGAGTATACCTGTTCAACTGATTCCGTCGAGTTATTTTGCAGTTACTCCCATTATTCTTAATGTACTTAATATTCCACAGGTGACTTGAGTGGAATCTGGTACAACCAGTTTGGTTCAAAGATGCAAATCATCCTTCTGGAAAACGGAGAGTTGATAGGATTTTACGTCAACTGTACACCTGGTTCTAAAGCTGCCAGAGAAAAATTGACTGGTTTTGTGGGAAAAGACGAACACGCTTCTCGATTTGGCTTTACCGTCGACTTTCAGGTAAGTAAGGAAAAATTACATTGTTTTGCAGGAGTTTTACTGGTCATGGTTAAACTTTGTAACCTCCTGGTTATCGTGCTGGACTCTTGTTTGAGAATTTTTTGTTCTGTGTCAGTGACTAAGATACTTGACCCTCACAGTGCCTCTGCCATCCTAGGAGAATACAGTGGTACTAAAGAACTGTCTAAGAAGATTAAGTAAATGTTTGAGTGGGAAAGGGAGGAGACCAGCGATGAACTTACACTCTTTTAGGAAGAGTAGAAATATTCCTGGTCGGTATGAAACCGGGATAAACTCCCACAGAATGGACACTGAGCTTGTGTGCAGATTAGAACCTTTTTGCCTTTTTAATAGCGGAGCTCGCAGAGCGTAGCCCCATAATTATACAAAATAGTAGTAGTAACCCATCAAGCCGAAAAAATTTGTATGTACGACCGTACGACCGTACAAGGTGCTACTTTTGACATACGTGGTCAACTCTACCGCGGGCACGCCAACGCCACGGCTTTGTCCAGTAGTCCAGTGGTCAGTGCACTGGGCTCCGAGTCGGACGACCCGGGTTCTAGTCCTGGCCGGGGCAAGGCGTTGTGCCCTTGAGACGTGCGGGAAAAAAAATGCGAGCTCCGCTTTTAGGCTTGGCTAAATCTATATATTACTTGGTCCGAACAGCATTGAGGAGCGGAAGTAAATTTCTGAACACTGCATTTCTCCCCACCAACAATCTGCTAGAGAAACCTGGCAGATAAAATTTAAACATGAGATGCAACTGAAACTTAAGTGTGAGTTACTACTGAATAAACCTGGCTGACCTAGCGAACACATGTAATGTTATTTTTCCGCCCATGATCGAAGGAATAACGAGAATTTGACGTTAATATCTCATTAGTTTGACTAAGCGAGAGGTTAACACGTCATGTTCATGACCAGTGAAGTAAGAATTGACTACATTTTTAAAAAAATTTTGCTGTGTAGAATGGGCGGTATACCACGACCTGGACCGGACGTTGCATCAAAGAAGGAAGCGCCGATGGTGAAGAAGTTCTGTTGACTAACTGGATTATGAACCCTAACCCGGAAGATGGTGCGCAACACCTGGAATCCATTCATGTCGGCCAGGATCGCTTTACAAGGAAGCCTCAGACCCCTGAGAAGTTGCCGTCTTTTGACGATTCGCAACCGGAGTCTAAGGGCTGGATGCTATCCTACTAAGCGTACCCTATTTTAGTAGTGCTTCTCACTGGATTGTGCACTCGGGTCCTCTCGCTTAACGCAGCTCAACTCCTTACAGGGCTCCTGTCTCACAGGGCTCCTGTCTCACAGAGCTCCTGTCTCACAGGGCTCTTGTCTCACAGGGCTCGAACTAGCTAAAATGATACAGCAGAACAGTTTCTTTAGACACGACACCCTCAGTGTTCACCACTCTTTTCGATTTGTTGTAGTTAATGTGGCATGGTTCTTAATCACCAATTCCTCGTTCATCATTTAAATTCTAGTTCTTGAAACAGTTTGGAGCAATTCAGTGAGTGAAGTACAAAGTCAGGCATGGGTAGCTTCAAAAGCAACGGCCAATCCCGAAAACTGGGAAATTACTCAGACATTTTAACTGAAAACGCCTGTGTTATTTGCTCAGAAATATACATTGTACCTAGTTTTTAAACTATTCTTAACGGCATGTATTCCAAAAAAAGCATTTCGAACCCCCTTTGTGAGAAACTAGCCATGGCTCTGGTATCCAGCCTTGATTAATTCAAGTAAATCATCAGGAAAGTGGATATGTATTGAAGGTTTCTGAGCCTGTGCTATGTTATATGCCTTAAGATTTTATTTTACACGCTTAGAAATATTACCTAAGTGAATGCGACGTAGGTAGGTTTGAAGCCGTATGCCCGACGGCATATTCTTTCGGGCACCAAGTCCTCCATTTGTGCAAAACTAACAGTAAGCTAGTTCCGACCAAAATATCCAGCCTTAACTCATTCAAGCAAACATGTGACCGTGTAATGTTTCGGGCCAAAAATTTTTGTTGTACAGTAGATAGTTTTTTTAAATTTATTTTGATAAGATTTTTACCGGTATATTATTTTTTGATTTGACATATTTTTGCACTTTAAAGTTTTTTTCCATCTCGTTGTGAAATCATGAGTTTCTTCAATTAGTTTCATTAAATTAATTATATTGACGTGCACTTAAATAAAGTTGTTGTTATACAGTCTCCTGTAATGGTCGATATCAATAACAGCCGCTCATGAAGGGTAAAATTTTACACTGACACGGGGTCCTCTTGGACCACTGTTTTTCCGGGGGGAGGGGGAATCAAATTGATTATTTTGCATGGGAAAAAGATCCTTTGGGATAAAATTGGAGAAACCGCTGTTAAATGGATTTCAGTCGCTAAAATAGGTGAACAATGAGCAAGAACATGGGTGAAATCGTCATTTAGCTGTAATTCTAAACTGTCTTCTTGAAATATGCCAAAACATTCCACAGGACCTTGGATGTTTCAAAAAATCCTTGTATTTTCAATCCATTTATACCCGGGAAATCTCTCCAAAGTGTGTCTTGGCCAATGCATGTTCTGGCTCCCTTCTCTCACCCATCAGACAATGATCCATAAGATTAATAGGAAGCATCCGAAAATGGAGAAACCTCTGCAAGAATGGACTTCAGTCACCGATGGCTTAACAGTAGGCTTGAGCAGGGTGAACTCGTTATGTAGCTGTAATTCTTAATTGTTTGTTCAAAGGCGTACAACTGGAGTGAAAATCGTCAAAAAGAGCACGGGATCTGCTCCATGCAGTCGAACAGCGGACAGCGATCTATAATTATCTACTTTTAGAGTTTTAGTGTACCCATTGAAATTCATGGCACAGTAACACGCGCCATCGTCTAATAGGCTGAGTGTAGGGGAAGTTTTTATCCACCGGCATGGTTACAGCGTGGAGAGAGTAAGGAAATAGAGATCGCTTCCCGGCCATTCCGTCAACCTTTAAGGAAAATATTGAGTAAGGAAACTCTAAACAGGAAATACTGAACCAAACAGTGAGAACAACTTGCCTAACCTCCTCTCAAAGGAATGCAAAACCTGCTGGGACATTCAGGAGGTTTTTCGAGAAACTGTTCACAATTGACTGTTAACTGTTTGACAATTGTTCTTTTAAAGTTTCCTGACAGTGATATCGATGAGTCTGCACAGTTATGTTCCCTCCATGTTTTAAGAAGTTCTGGAGGCAACAGAGTGAGTGGACCTGAGTGAATTAAACGTTGTTGTCACTAACCTCGTGTTGCCGCGTTATTTCGCGTGTTGTTTGCTCGCAGAGCGTGACGCATTTGCTTTGTTAGTCGAAAAGTACTGGGAATTAGTTTCAAGAAAATCCGACATGGCGTCGTAAACAATGAAAAGAACCACCGATTATGATACCATAATAGTTGAAAAAAACGGTATTCTAAGCATCACATGCCTTTCAGTACATGTAAGCACTTGTCTGATGACGTTTACATTGAAGAAATGGCGTTACAGCGGCTGGAAGACTATTAAATGGAGACCACGTGTGACATTCAAATCAAGTGTCAAAGGCCAAATAACACTGCTTGAAGTGTATTTTTTTCTCTTAATTTCTTCTTCCTTATATTTTTTAGTTGCAAAGTAAGCTGGTATTCTTACTATAGTTTCTGTATCATAATTAAAGTAACTGGGAATATGTTTTGTATTACTTCCACTGGATGGGATGCTTGTCCACTGCAGGTCATTCACCCTACCCCCCTAAATAATTCATCAGTTACTTGTGATTATGTCGACTCCTGGATGTAGAGAGTTAGAGCCCAAACCATAACGCAATAACCTGGCCAGGTCATAAACCTGGAAACCTTAACCCAGAGTCTAGCATTCTGAAATTAAGTGTGCTCATCTAACCCACATCATTTGAGGCCACTCTGAAATTTCGAATTTTGAATTTATCTTTTTTCAACATATGATTCAAGGTAGTGGACCTGATTCTTATATTTAGAATAAGAATTTTTTCTTTTTTTGAACAAGGCCACCGAATTAAGAAAAAAGATATTTTGCCAGTTAACCTCATTGATTAGTTTTTTCTTTAAATTAAAAAAAAAGTTTTTTAATTTTTTAATCAAGAAATTTAACACAAGGAAGTAGGCCCTTGCCATCAGAATTGACTGAATTTTTGAAAAGTGGGTTTCCTGACCCTCAAAAGTCCAGGGAAGGAAATGGTGGGGAATTTCTTTTTAGGCACAGTTGGATAAAAAACCTGCATACAGTTACTTCTGCAAATAAATGCTAGATAGCTTGTACAGTGCTTGAAATTTTAAATAGTGCTTTGTCCAAATGACTCTCGAAACTAGATTGAGTAGGAGGTATTCAGCAAGTTCTGCATTGTGGAAGGTTATGAAACTTGGTAATTGCTTTCCTATTTTCATAAACACAGTTTCATAAAATGCATTGAGTGCTGTGTTTCAATGTGATTGTTCCATTATCTGGGAGTGTGTCTGGGGCAAAAAAGTCAAAACCAAGGTGTTTATACTAGTGGTATTATTTGTGCCCTTCCCTTTTGCAGTCACCTGACATGCTTATTCCTGTCCATCTTACAAATTCAGAAAAAGTGAGCCCTGTTCTGTAGGCAAGGCTAATGGAGGAATAATTTCTAGTAGAGTTATTGTATCAGAAAGTGACACTAACAGTAAGCATGTTTTGCAGCTGAATGCAGATGATGTTAATTTGTTTTACTTGTAGATATATTTCTCCACCACTGTCAAAAAAATTGCTGGTGCAAACAAGAATAAGAGAGCCTGGTAAGAGATTATTTTTTGAGTAAATGTGATGCTCCACAGGAATTTGAAGCCTCAAATTCCAAGGTAATAGCTTAGTTGGCTCGTTTCTTTTAGAGTTTCTTTTAGTGTGTTTAATATCGTGTCTATATGTAGCATGCAGTGGGTGATCAGGAGTAATTGCTAAGTAACTATGCAAATTCAACAGTGTCAAAAAAAACACATAAAATTTTGGGAGAAACATCTAAGAAAGAGGGTAATCTGGTATTATCAACTAAGTTGATAATGTAAATTGGCCACTGCAAAGAGTTTAAAAGGTAAACTCTTTATGGTGGCCAATTTATGATAATATCAAATAACCCTGTCACTCTCTACCACCAATGCAGCACCACAGTTTCTTTAGAAACTTACCCTCTCTATTCATTCATCTAAGAAAGAGTTATCTTTTTCATAATAATTACAAATTAAAGTTAACACCTCCGAACATTAATGTTAATCTTATCAATTATTGTGGTTCTAAGTTCTTGCTGTTGTGCTCCAGTCATATATTTAATGAGTTTTTTTGGTCATCTTGACTCAAATTTTAGATATTCCTCTTCTTCTCCTTCCTCTTTGTTAATATCTCTGTTTGATATGATAAAACCTTTACAATAGATTAAAAATGGTATGAACACTGCCATAGGTGTTAGGGAATCCATTGCCCATCCAGCAGGGCAGGGGTTAATCACAATTCAATAAAAGTTAGATCAATTGATCTAAGGGTAAGGTGAAATTTGCATTTTCTTTCACTCAAGTCATAGGAGAAAGTCTATTTGGAGAGTAGCTTTGAGGATTGGTGTTTGATTTTCTCAAATTTTGAGGGTTCATGCCTAATTAATGGTTGATGTTTATCAGGAAGATATTTCCTTTGTTGTATGAGTTTAAATCAAATCAAGTTGTTTCATTTTTATTTATCAATTATCATTTATATTCAGAACTTCTCAGTCTTTCTCTGATTTAGTTAAGTGAAACACAATTCTAGGACCCCTGCAATATGTGTGAAATAAGAGCCACCTGGGATTTACTGAACCTGAACATGAGTACTTGCCTCACACCCTCTTGCTTAATAAACTGAGTGGAGTGCAATTTGGTTTGAAATCATATGGGTCACTTAAAAATCAAACAAGAATGCAAAGCAAGTTTTATTTGAAATCTCAAAGGAGTCTTGAAGTTGAATTACGAAGTTGAACTACCACTTTATTACATCCATTTTGAAATCACAAAATTCAGTGGCTCAGACACTGGATTTTTGGTCTATACTAATATCGAATCTTGAACTGTGTACAAGCGATGGGTGACTAAAAGCTGACCGGCAATGGAGTCGACATCATCCATGAAGCCTCTTCCTCAGTCTTGACCTGGTGCACCGAAAAACCATAGAGAAGGGTGTGAAAGTTGTTTTGAAAACTGGACTTCACTGTACAGATCTTAAACTGTGTACAAGAGATGAGTGACTAACTGCTGACCAGCAATGGGGTCAGCTTCATCCATGAAGTTTCTTCCTCTAGGATGCTAAAACGTGGTCCACCGAAAAACAAAGAGAAGAGTGTGAACACTGTTTTGGAAACTGGACTGTCTTGCTGTGCTGTACGGGTCTCAAACTGTGTACAACAGATGGGTGACTAATAGCTGACCCGAAATGAAGTCGGCTTCACCTGCAAAGTCTCTTCCTTAGTCTTGATCTAGGATGCTAAGACGTGGTCCACCAAAAAACAAATAGAAGAGTGTGAAAACTCTTTCGGAAACTGGACTGTCTTAATTGTTGCGATGAACGGAACTTTAATGGTGTACCAGAGATATGCGGTTATTTGCTGATTCGCACGGGAGTCATTGTAACTTATTAAGCATCTTCCTGTATTATACTGGATGTGTGTGGTGGTTAAGGAAATTCGTGTGACATGAAAATGACTTTCTTTTCACGGAATAGGCTTGTGTATAGCAAGTGAGGCTCTTTCTGTAAATATCATGATAAATGAGAAATTTGGATAATATTATGGGTCGAAAACCTACTCGACCGTGATCACTGTTTACAAAACGGAGTATTTTTTTACAAGAAAGGTTAAGGATGTCTGTGTCTGTGGTAAATGTATATATGTACGCATGCACGTTCGTGTTTTATTTTCAAGTATAGAGTCTTTGGCAAGAAATGTTCGAATTATTCCTTTGATGCTATCTCATTCTCCTTTGCAGAGGCAGTGAGGAATGACAATTTGAAGCAAGAGACCACGGAAAATTTTCAACCTTGGAGAGAAACAAAAAATTGGGGGTCCAACCACAAGTTAAAAAGGTCACAGAGACCATGATACTTAATGTTCTGGTAAGTGGTATAGTTGTACGGAAGATTGTAATTTTCAAATGAAGCCATCTGTAATTATGTTAAAGAAAGTGAGTAATTTGTTTATTTCTCTATATTTCGCAGGTGTTAACACCTAACAAGCAACCAAAAATTTTAACTTCGAAAGGAAGTGTAAATTTGGAGTATAAGAA